GTACCATCTGCTGAATCACTTGGCGACAAAGAAATAATACGCTTTCTATCATATAACACCAACGAATTATGGCTTCGTGCGCAGCTGGAGTGCTCAAATGACTTATCGTTTGTTGGACCAAGTGGACTCGGTGGGCTCGAGACACAGGTGTCATTTAGGGATCAAGGGGTGCTGCATGGTATTATGTTAGATGTACCAGTCCCGCCGCTAGAAGTTGTCAGTCTTTTGCAATCCGGGCCGTCAAACAACCGTATCGATCTTGCTTTCTTCTCTGACGGGTGTGCGTTTTCATCTGTCTTTTTGCATGTCACACCCTCAGTCCTTGCCTAATGTACAGACACAATGCGTGAAAGAGACAAGTTTCTTGATGACGCAATGCGTCTGGTCACCGACTTGTCATCAAATCAGACGTTCTCCACCGTCAGGCCTCTATTGAACTTCTGGGCTGTGTTCTCACCTAGTCAAGAAGTTAGTGCTCTCAAATTGGCTACCAAGCTCTAGGCTGATTCTTCCTCCAGAGCGGCGTAGGTGTCAATGGGAAAGCTAAGAGGTGCTTATCATATCCATGATCCTTTACTTCATACACATTCCGGCCTAGGACTCCCTTTGGGTTATACCGCGATGGCACGGAATTGAGGGGCCTATACGCAAATAACTCTGATGTTGCTTTAATGGCCTGTGCGTCTCTTGGAAATAAATGTAACTATGCAATTCTCCTTGGTACGTGTTTTGAATCAGGAACACACCCTTCAACTACTTCTCTCAGGCTTACTTCACTATTAAAGGCAATGATCCATTATATGGTGGTAAGATATCCCGTATCTATCTTTAAATACTGCATCACGCTGACCACTCTCCCATGCGCAGGGCTTGGCGGAGAATATACGTATGTTTGCGATTCCGCATTAACTTGTTATCTTCGACATACTCACAAAAGGTGTGAAGGACAACTACTGCCTCCCTAGCAAACGGGGCATTAGTCCTTCGACACGAGATTGGTCACTCCATCATCGACGTAGGCGAAGAATATGACGGGGGATTTGCTTATTTCGGTGTTAACGCTGTTCACAATCTCTCAGACGTGACATGGACACACTGGCTCGAGCACCAGGAAGATGATGCAAACTTGTTCCGCGCAGAACGGTCTACGATGCCGATGCAAGCGTATCCGTGGACACTGCTGAATACGACTCAACCATGGACTATTTCTTTCTTGTCATCAGGAAACTACGCACGTCATCTGATCAAGTTCTCGCTGTCTGGCTTCCCAGATCAAGATGACTTGGTTATCTTGTTCGACAAAGTCGATTTACGCTGGACACCAAGAAAAGATATCGGCGTGGACAGGTGGCACTATGATGTTTATGAGGACACGTCATTGAGCGCTGGCGTGCATGAAATCTCGTTTGTCTTGAAGAACAACGCTCTTGAAGGAAGCGCGCAACTATGCAGCGTAGAGGTACTGGAATATGGGACAGAAGCTGAGTATGTTGTGATCACGCTTATCCATTAACTTGGTGGATCTAACACCGATGACAGATTCAACGCGACGCTTGGTCACTATGGCATGTTCCCGACGTGAGTGGGTGGTTTTTATGTTAAGGAGTTTAAGCTATTAACTGGTGTGAAGGTTCAGCATGGATAATGATACGTCTTATCGTCCGACGAACGACGATTGTCTCATGCGCAGCGTCACCAAGCCCAACTTTTGCAAAGTGTGCTTGGAGGGCCTTTGGCTATCGCTGCTCAAACGTGTCGATCTCATCGACAACTTCAAGATAATGTGTGGGGATGACCGCCACAGAACGTTCGAGGTTGATCTGGTTCCGCTTGCTGAGTTTAGAGAACATCCTGTCTCCAGCGAGGAACGCTACACCATCGCCTGGTCGAAGGACGGGAAAGTACTTGCGCAGTTTGCGAATATGACACATGTAGACGTGGGGGATGAAGTTGGGACGTACCATGTAGATGTTCAGTTCTCGACGGAGGAAGTGCGTGTAGACAAAGATGGACTGCTTGGAGCTAGCAGGTCGTTCACTGTTACTGAGCCTTGCCTCTGAGTTGTACGATAGGATGTTAACACCTTGAGCTTGAAAATTGACCGAGTCTATGTAGTGGTTGCCTCTCGATTCTCCGTCCATATATCCCAAGTAATGTCATACTATTAATGTTTACTTTTGCACTTGCAACTCGCGATGCAGAACAAGAATATCACTGATGATGTATGTGTAAGTGAGTCAATCCGGAGTACTAGAGCACTAAAATAGTTTGAGTGTATACCGGCCATGGATCCATAATATACAAGGTAAACGAGCGGCATAAGAAGAGGGACGGATGTGTTCTGCGACAGGGCAATGGTATGAGTGGAGGAGGGTACGGAGCGGAAAGTGAACGAGAGGTATGACACTCCAGTTGTCTTGAGTGGTAAGGTATGCGGAAAAGGAGGAACCCCAATATGCAAGGAAATCCGAACGACGCGGCTAAGAGAGGAATGAAGATGACATATGTGCAAATGTGGATGAAAAGAGAAAGTGAAAAGTGAAAACATGGGACAATGAAGAGAACGAACACATGCTTCGATATCGTCGCAATCACATAACAACGCACTTGCAGCACCCAGCGCCTGTGTCTTCATCATCATGAGGTACTTGCTGTGGTGACTCGAGGTCAGTGGATGGTCGCGTAACGTTGATGGTCGGAATGTCTGTACGTCGGTAGTGCGAGAACGGTGCTGGAGAATCAGGAGGACGTGGGGTCGTTTTCCGACGGGCTGGACGAATAGGTCTCTCTGGTTCTTCGGTGAGGGGTGGCAGTGCTGGAGGTGGGCTTTCAGGTCTCGATGCTGCTGTCTCCTGAATCATGCTTGGTAGCTTGCCGAATTCATCCATTGGTATCTCCTCTCCTCGAGGCGCACGATACTTGGAGTAATCGTAACCAAAAGTGCCAGGCGCCTGATGCAAACATCAGCAATTGGTCGGATACGATAATTGGAAATGCACTTACTGGAGCAACAGGACCGGGAGGTTTTGGACGAGGGCTGCCATCTGCTTGCTCGTACTGACCATCTAGACCTTTCTTGCGCGCAACAACCGGCAATACCACCTGAAAAGCGATCAGCGAAACAATCGATGGAACTACTCTTATCTTATCACCTCGTCCCAGGTGCCCGACTTCTGAACTGGTTGGGTCCACGTGGGTATGGCGTCAACCATACCATCTCCTTCGGGAGTTGGATATGAAGCGACCGAACCGCGATTGTCCTCCTTCCGTCGTGCAGCGGAAGGTGGCGTCTTCACTTTCGTCTTGGACTTCTTTGGTGTTGAAGGCGATACCGGTCTATTCGTGCGACGTTTGTTACTTGGTGGATGATCAGGCGATTGACTCTGTGATCGTGAAAATGACCGCCGATGGGGACTTGTGATGGAATCAGGAGGAGATGGAATCAGAGTTTCGGAACTGCGTGTCGTTTCAATGGATGTATTGGCTCTGAGGGGTTCCGAGGCTGTACGTGCAACGGGTATCCGAGAGGGTGGCATCTCGGTATTGACAGTAGGGTGTGCTTCACTCCGGGTATTCTCCGCAGAGAACCTGACTAGACCAGGCGTAGACGCACTGTATGGAGGATGAATGGTGACGTCTTCTGTACCGTCGTATGCGTTGTAGAAATCCTCTGGGTCAGCATCATGATCACCATCAATGTCCGTCGGTGGGCTCTCGTCCAGCACCATATCCGCTTCTTTTGCTTTCTGTTCATCTAGATACAGACTCTCCCTTTCTCGCAGACCAGAAGCACTATCAGCTCTCTTTCGTCTACGGCTGTACTCCAAAGCGGCAGAGAAGTCCCGAGGTGCAAAACGGTGCGTGCTTGACTTCGTGTCGTGTCCGAAGTTGGCGATACGCAACATCTCCATGCGTTTACCTACACGCAATTCCCCGACGCCACCGTTCCTATGCACGTCTCCTCTGTACCAATGTTCAAATGGACGTTCTTCTGATTCATTGGAAGGCCGCGGAGGCGCAAAGGCAGCGTCGTGGTGAGACTTTTTGGAGAGAATAGAGGAACTGATAGAACTCGCCCCAAATGGAGCAGGTTCATTCATGATATTTGATCTCTGGTGTCGAATGGTGGCATTTGATAAAGTAGGGTCAGTCTCGTCAATAATCCAGAGATCAGGAGACGTGTCAGAAGTAGGCGTCTGGTGGGAAAGGACGTCATTGCGACTTTCTGTACCAGTTGCGATACTCTGGTCATGACTGGAAGTACTTATGGTTCTCCCCCGCGCGGCCATCGGTATTCGGGTGGGTTTCACGTCAGAGGTGCGGGGGGAAGTAGGGCGAGAAGGATCTGAGGTGGGTAGAGCGTGTCCGTTCGCGTAGCCGTTAAGTTGAGAAGAAGAATCGTACAAGTATGGTTGAGAAACTGTGCGAGCGCGTGTATATGGAGGATTGTGTGAGGAAGCGCCGTTGGCACAGGATGCTTCTGAAGGACTTCTTGATTGTTGCAAGCTTGGTCTGGGTATAGCACTAAGTTTCTTGTGTTCTGGAGAATAAAGTGAATTTGGGGCCTGATCTCGCAGAGTATGGCCCGAAATTGAAGGAGCGTTCGACCTTGGTGTGTCGTCCGTAGAAGAAAAAGATGCCACTGACAGGCGTTTAGCAAGGATACGACTTTCGCTTTCTAGTCCTGAAAAAAAGGAAGAGAAGGCGGGCCCGTCAGAATTCGATGCCTGGGGCTTCTGGACAGGAACGTTATGGTATTATATACGTACTTTTGCGAAGAGTGGGCACGATTGTATCGTCCCACAGTGTTGGGAGAGCTGATTGTGCTGTTTCAGTCAAAGCCATTAAGTAAACAATTAAATGAAAAGAAATAAAGTCGACCGTCGACGTCGTCAACAACGTTGAGGACTGCGAATGAATTAGCACTGAGGCTGACCTGACCGTTAACCCGAGGAAGAAGTATAAAAATAATTCATAAATAAATATTTCCATACTTGGTCCATCGCTTTGCTTCCTCACTTCGACTCTCGCGTCCCGTCACCGCGTCCCCCAGTTCGTTTTCCGGTTTTCTGATACCTGGACCTGTTCTCACAAATATAATTTTCAGATGAGTGCAGCAGCAGCTCGCGTCTCTCACAGTGCACAAGCAGTCCGTCCTTTCAGAAAGCCTCCAAAAATTCGCAAATTCCTCAAGCGTGACGAGAATGGTCTTCCAGTGCCGCACGTCAGGAATCTCATTGTCCGCGACACGCATCCATGTCGTCTCATGGACCACTACCACACTGCTCTTCAAGACAACTTGATGTACATGACTTACAATCACGAGTCTGGCATACCATCATCACCACGCCAAATCCGTCTCACTTACGACCCCAATGACCCTTACACTAAAAACCGTTATAACCCTCCTGTCGGTGGCTCCCAGGCGGGCAAAAAGCCGGCACCTCCAACCACTTCTCAGAATGTCGTCCATTTAGAAAAAATAGTCATTCATTCCATGATGAAGGAAGCACTTACCAACCGGAGTAGTTTACTTGGTCTCATCGCCGCGTTCCGTGCAATGTCGGGAGAAACCGAGAGTGGTGGAGGTCGTCCTTCGAGCAGTGGAGTGCAGATCGTGAAGGGGAAAAAGAACGTCGGCGGATGGATGCGCCCTGGTATCCCAATCGGTGCAAAGGTCGAGTTGAAGGGACCCAAGATGTACGACTTTTTGAATACCCTGGTGGAGTTTGTACTTCCGAGGATTCGAGAGTTCCCTGGCATAGTCATGCCTCCCGCATCATCAACAATGAAATCTCCGAGCGGCGTAGCTGGTGTCGTTTCATTTGGCTTGCCGCCAGAGGCCATGGGCTACTTCCCTCAAATTGAGGTCAATTTGGACTCGTACCCCAAGCCTTATGGTATGCACATACATTTTGTCACCAATGCAGTGGGGCTTGGTGCACAGAATCGTGCAAGGGCACTGGTCTCTGGTTTCCAGATACCCTTTGCTCGCAAGTAGATTACTTGTACGTCCGTTACCTTGTTCGGCTGTTTCCTAATTTGCTCATAATTCATGTCCAGATTACGTTGTTAATCAAGTTATTTGTTCTCTGCATGCTATCATTAGCGAGGATATATGGTAATGTGCAAATAAGAGTATTGTCTGTGATGACGATGCATGCAAAGCTAATGATAAAGAACGGACAATAAATTAATAAAAAGCACCCAGTCTAACCAGACAATAAATAGTTTATCTTTGTCCTCCATGAGATTGCCAAGATATATCACCAAGTCTATGCCTGGATGATGAGTACGTCCTCTCTATCCCCGCCCTCGATGTTGGAGGGGGACCCATGCTAAGACCCAGCAAGGACGAGTTTGGTCCCATCATCGCAGACGTTTCCGATGCTGTCCGCCTGGCTTTCTTGGGCGCTATCAGACCGCTTTTCGGAGTATCATGCCCCTTGAGCAGAGACCTGTTGCCCACCGGTTTAAGTGCAGGGGCTAGTGCGGGTAGAATCTCTCTCGCCAGCTCGCGCACCAAGACAGCACCATCATCCTTGCTAAGTTTCATGACCATTTCATGCAATCCGTAGCGCTCCACCAACATCGCACGGTTTGGGTGCACGTCGCAAACGGTCCGGAGGATACGCAAGAGGTTGAGACGAACGACCGCACGGCTGTGGTTGAGCCTGTCAATGATGCGCTTGAAGAATTGAGATTTGGCAAGGCCGATGGTGAGCGGGATGGAGATACGACAGATTTTGAGAAGGGGGTCGAGGAGGTTTTCAAAGGAGTTGGCTTTTGCGGTTACGAAGCACTTGAGCAACGCCTCAAGAGACTCAGAACTGACCAGCTCATCTTCAATCTTGGCCGTTTCATCTTGCAACCTGAGTTCACGTTAGTCGTAGTACAGGACGCAATTGAAAATTCTCCTTACCATGACAGAATCGCCTCCAAGGCGCTGACCTGGAAGTATGGGTCCTCTAGAAGCTTCAAGTAAAGCGCGAGACCATTGTGTTGCCAAAGGAGATATCTGCAGCTTTTCCCCGCGCTAGCCAAGTCGCACAGAATGGGCAACGCGAACTGTTTGAGAGGCGAACTGGTCTCAATTACTCGCTTCAAGCACGGAATAATGCCGGCTTGAGCCGCCTCCTCTTGTCGTGACTTGTTCAGCCGACAGAGGTTATAACAGGTCTGGAAAATGTGATTTGACACTTCCTGAAGTACCATTTGATCTGAGTGACGCCCAAGTCGTGATCTCATATGGCTTACCGTGCTATGAGGACCGGTCTTCTCTTCATCCAGTAGCTTGATGAGTATCTCGATGGCGTTAGTGTTTTGAAGCACCTCGAGCAGATTAGCATTCATGGACAAGTGCTTCACAGCTTTCAGCATCTGAACCAGGCATTCCATCTCCAGAAGCTCGCACGCGCGTAATAAACCTGCCATCATAATTCCAGTCAGGTGCATCGAATCTAATCATTGACACGGAAATCTCACGTCTGACAATCTTCCGGGTCCCCATGGCGTTACGTACATGAATATCGCTTTGTGTCACTTGTGAGAACACGAGAAGGATCTGTATAATCTTGTGCTTCATCTCGATTGCATTGGGACTGGAATTGCCCATGACATTGAGCAAAGCGGAGGAGAGGGGATCGAGGAGGCCTTCGCGGATAAACATACGACAGAAGTCATTCTTAGTCGTTGGAGTTTGCAATTCGAACACGCTTCCTATGCCGTTGAGAGCGTCGACGACGAGCTCAGTCTGGTCTGTGTAGTCCTCGTCCAACAGATCAACAAGAACTTTCAGGCCACGACATCTATTAGGGGATGTGAACAAGTGCATAAAGAGAAGTCAGACAAGCACGTACGATATAAACATTTGCAACGTCAATACAGATGTGTGGCAGAGCAACCTGATGAAGTTGGATGCCTCCACGCGACACTCAGAAGAATATTTCTTTGAAGTAAAACCTACAGGATGTCAGCCCTTCATTATCAACCTCTCCTGAGTCACGAAAAATACCCATCATGACCGGAATGCCACCGATGAGGCAGAAGCTTTCTAAGAACCCAAGATCGCTTGTGACCAACTAACCGACGACGTTAAGTTCATGGATCAAAATTAGGTCGCCGACTTACTAAGTTGATCATGTGAAGAAGTTTCATGAGGACGTCCCTGGAACACTTGCCTTCCAGTACCTCTAAAATTGCCAGCATACCATGTGAAGACACCAACTGCACAAGCATATCTGGGTTTTCTGTCATGATATTGATCTAGAAATGTGGCGATGCATCAGACTATACAACCATTGAGTTTGATTGAACTGACCAGTTGATCACAAGCATCACGCAGTTGGAAGTCAGGTGCCGAGGGTGTCAGTTCATCGATCAGTTGGTTCACCATGTTGCACAACCGAGCATTCTTGTCGCGTTGAAGATTAGTCTCAAGGTCATCCTCAGCAAAACCCTCGTCAATCTGAAGAATTTAGTCAGCCAGTATTCATGGATGACGCACGAAAACTTGCCTCTGCGAAAGGATCGTCTTCGTCTGAATCGTCTCCGAGCTGCATTGAAATCAATCACCACAAAATGTCCGAAATAAAACACAGGCCTTACCCATGACTTGTTCGACAATTTTGTGTTGAGTTGCAAAGTCTGCATCGGCTGCTCGAGAGCTGCGAAGCTAGAGTTCGAAATCATTCATACAATGGCATAAGACTACTTACTTGTTCCGCCAGGTTTTCCAAAGATATCATCGTAGTCCTCATCGTCTTCCTCAGCATACTTGCCAAATTCAGCATGGCTAGCTGCACGTTTTGCCTCTGTGCGACCAAAAGAGCCGGAGGCACTTGAACTAGATCCAACAAAGGAAGATGAGCGGGAATGTGATCGTATCGAACCTGTAGGTGGTAGGCCCATGCCAGAAATAGGACTGAGAGACGGGCGAGATGCTTTCCGCGACAAACTAGGAAGGGGTGCAGACATAGGACCGGGAGAACCAGAAAGGAGTCCGAGGACTTTGATATCGTCAGGATGAAAGAGTCCCCTGCGTACCGAATTCTTCATCTTCGACATTGCAATATTTCTTAGTCAGCAATAAGGAAAAGAAAGGGATGCACTAACCTTAAAATCCGCCACTTTCTCTTGAAGTAGGAGCTCGTCCTCCTCGGTTGCGATGTCGGAATAGTCTTCGACAATGGGTACAATATCGGCAGATGGTGCCCTTGCGAGTGGTATTGTCCCCGGGCCAGCTGGGCTACGATTTGGTCTGATGGTCTGCGCATTATCATCACCCTCCGGTTTTTCATCTTCCATGGACATCTTCTCTAAGGCAGAGGCTACATAGCAACACAAAGTAAGATCACGACTCTTGTTCAATCTCGCACATACCTTGTAATTTGGTGAATGAGGGTCCATCCTCAAAGTCGTCGTCCCAGTTGTCTGTCTGCTCTTCTGGAGGCTGAAGGACAAAAGCTAGTGGCTCCCGAATCTTCTCCACTAGAGCGACGGGGGCAGAAGGCTTTCCCGGGGCAGCATTGGGTCCTTTGAGAACAGAGTTCCCAGAGGTCGAAGCCTGGAGACCAAGGACTGAATGCTGAAGGAGCGACACCGCAGGCTTATCTCGACCACCACGAGTCGGGGATGGCGGTTGGCCTTCAGAGACGGAGTTACGACTATCTTTCTTCGTAGGTCGTGTAGGGGCTAGAGGAACATGAGCGTGGAATTGATATATAAAAAAGATTGATCACATTTAAGGGCTTCATTCCATTCCTGTACCTTGAGGACAGCTTCGTCGTAGTTATAGTTGCTTTTGGGTCTCTTGCCGTCAGGGAATGATTGCGGACCGCCTTCTGGAGACCTCTTTCCATTTCCCGCTGCCACATTCATCTGCTTCTTTGCAGATATCATCCAAGGATGACGGAGTAATTTCTTGGCTGAGATTCGGAGGTTACAGTCCTTCTGAAAACAGTGAAGTAGAAAATCCTTGACAATCGGAGATGCACCATCGGGAATAGGAGGGCAGTCATCCTGAACGATCCGAAAGAGCGCAGGCATGGGGTCGAGGAAGTGATATGGAGGCTTCCCTTCAAGAAGTTCGATAACTACACAACCAACGCTCCTGAATAATATATCAACTTTGATGTTGATTCGCAAGCAGTTGAACTATACTTACCAGATGTCTGACGCCGTAGTTGCACCAGATTGCTCGATAACCTCAGGTGCCACTAGCGTAGAAAGCTATAAATCGCGACGAAGACACATACCATGACAACTCACTCCAATAGGGACTGCCCACAACGGCATCATCATGAATGGCGCCAGTTGTAGTAGAGCTAGCGACTCCAAAGTCAGCAAGCTTTACACAGCCATCCTTATTAGTCAAGATATTCGCGCCCTTTATATCACGATGGATGACACCTTGGTCGTGCAAGTATACGAGCCCCTCCAGGACTTGACATATGTAGACCGCTACCAGGTTCTCTGGAAATTTACCGAAGCGTTTGCAGATATTATGCAATGATCCATTTTCACAGAACCTGGCACGGTATCTATGCTCAGTGAATGTTCTCAGTTGAAGTGGAATGAGGACTAACTCAAGAATAATGTATAAGTACTCCCTGGTCTTGACGAAGCCCTTGTACTTGACGATATTAGGGTGCTGAGGAATCAATCGGATAAACCATCAGACTATAAGTTTCGAGAGCCACATACATTCAAGTTTTTTAGTAAGTCGATTTCGGACTAGGATGAAGTCTTGAACAACGCGCCCGAAGCCCTTGATGATGAGTCCCCGACTCACCATTATCTGCCCGAGCTCTCCCTTTGGTATATTACTAAGTTGTATTTCCTTCACGGCCACGGTCTCACCAGTAGCCCAGTTAAGTGCCCCTGCATGCATCAACGCTTGCATAAAGTCTATTTCACAGAAACCCCATTACTCACGGTAGACTTGACCAAACGCGCCCTTTCCAAGAGAGTCCCCGAGTTGCTGCACACATATTCAGTACAGTGCCACGATGTGTGTCCGATCCAAACAAACATAATCATTGAGAAGCTTCGATGTGCTCGCGCGCTTTCCGGGACTGGTTGAAGTCGACGATGGATTTGCCATAGCCTTGGATGGGATATGTTCGGTATCAAGGTGGGTATAGAAGGATGGCCTGTGGTGGATGAACCTGGCGTCCAAGTCCAGATGGCTTTAGAAGGTATTTAAAGCGTTTAAAACCAGGAAGACAAAAAGGGAGCTCGCAAATGATTCTCTAAGTTTGAGTGTCGCGTCCTGCGCTGACGAAGAGCAATGAGCCAAGGCCACTGAGCAGAACTCGGTCTGATTTGGAAGTCTTCGTTCACCTGTCACTGTCACTCCTTGAAGTGACCGGTCTAATAATTGATATAAATTTAGTATAAGTACATTGCATTCGCATCCTTGCCCGTGAAGAATTACTAGTACATACAACTGTCATAACGGACTAGGTAGAGAATCGATGTAAATCATACAATGTCTGCAGTATTTCGCTGGTCAGAATTCGAAGCTGAAGGCCAATCGACATGTTCGCTAACTGGACTGTCACTACTACGACTGAGGATAGTTGGATCAATATTATCGGTAGTAGAATATATCGTCTTTAAGCGAGGCCGAGTAGGGGAGTTTGATAGATCCTCTGGGAAAGTGATGGTTCGCACAGGGGGTACAACAGAACTTGCCGATCCAGATCGCGCATGGCTGCTCAACTCGACGCGCGCTGCGGAGGAGACAGAATGTGATCGCAATCGGCTGACCACGATAACTTCACCTGAGGGTGTGTGTGTATCATTATTGCGTGTGGACATAATAAAACTTTCCGCTTGTAAGTGGCGGTGACCAGGTTTATGAAACACTTGCTTCTTGAGGTTCAGAGTAATCCTTGACATCATTGTGACCTGTTGACCGTAAAAACTGTCACTCTATGACGGATACGAACTTCAAGCCGTGCTCACTGTGAGACTGTGACAAAATCATCTCAATCAATCGCTGTTATTGGTGGTTTACTACATAAAAAACACTCACAGAAGTTCAAGCCTATGCACAGCGAGCAAATCAATGAAAATTTGAGCAAACACTGTGATGGAGATATGCGTACTGTGCGGCGATGTTTTTCACCCCTTGTTGAGCTCTGATAATCATGACTGTCAATATCAGATTTATGGTGCAGATGACGCTATATGCTTGGTGAGGCATGCTATCTGGAGAGCCTGGTTTGCGCACCTGTAGTACAGTAGCCCGTCTGCAAAAAGAGTACGGATAATATGCCCCGCTTCTTTATTGCGGATCGAAGGAAGCGTGCGGTTCAACGTCAACCCAAAGACATACGTGTCGTAGAGCAGAGGCAACCAAGCTGAAGCCGAAGCAATCCCGCCACTAGAAAGTATTTCAAAACTCACATCTGGATAATTACTGATAAGGACATACGAATTGAACACCATGCTGCAAGCTGTAAAATCGTGAACAAGGTTGTCATGTGCGAAAAATGAGTATCTCACAGTGAACTTTATCCAATAAGTGAGTAACGGCTGAGAACTATGTTGTAAACTCATCCGTTGTGTGACGAAGATAAAACCATACGTTCACCATAACTCAATAGCTATGCAGTCACTACAATCCAAGCTAGCAGTAAAAATACCGCCGGCGCGATGGCAGTCCATTGATGTTTATATATTGCAACGATGCTGTATTTTCTATCATTAGCAGATGTTTGCTGGGAGGAGAGATAAATTTCACCGTAGCAGCATCATCAACCCAGCTATCTCAATGCCTATAGCTGTGGTGGCCCCTTCATATCGAACAAAATGGCGGCAACTTAAACAATGTTAACTAGTAAGTCCAGTGATGCAACGCAATCCTGACCTCTGCAATCAAGATTGTAAGATTAATCACTGGCAGATAGATTAAAATATCAAAACTCACTGCGTCGTCCCATGAAGTTAGGGTATATGCTAGTAGAGGTCACAGGTGAAACTGTAAGTCAAGGGCAAGGTACTCACCAACCAGATTAACAATGAAGACGAGAGGAGTAAGATATCGGTTCTGGAACATTAACCCAGTCGTGTGAGCTTTTTTACTAGCAGACACTGTCAATACATATGCATACCAGTAGAAACAAGTATATAACTTAGCAAACAGTTTCAGATACAAGTACACATCCGTATCCAAGATGTCACTCACAGGCCCTCTTAGGGTGTTTCCATATCAATTCAATCTGGCGCGGAATATGTTGATGAGTTTGAGTTTCACCAATTTTGCTGGTGTCATACCTCATCTGCGCTGGTGATAATGTGGTCCCAGACCAATATGGTGAAACCAGAGATCCCAACATACTAAGTCATAGGATACCTACTATGTCAGCCACTGGCAATAACAGACTAGGCAGAAAAATGTACAATCGTTTGGCGCCTAAAACGGTGGGTATCAACTATGCAAAGAGGTACAACGGCCAAGCACGGCTCACGTTTCAGAGATGTCCTGGAGCATTTCATTCTTTATTGATTCTGCCGCCATGGGTGAGTGCGAATTCAGCAGTGAAGACTAAGCAGGTGTGTGCTTCAGGGAAGATTTTAAGATTATTAAACATGAAAGGTTGTCTGAATGGAATTGTGGAGGGTGAAGGAAACGTTCACAGCGTTGCAAGGTTGTGATGAACGCATTTATACACAACAGCACTGGATGGCATTGTCACAGCGCCCGATCAAAGTCCGAGTTATCGCTGTGGGCTAAGTAGTTGGCTATTGAAATTTTGAAAAGCCACCGAGAGCCATCATTACTATCATATCCGGTGTTGTACTATGTACCATGCATCGCTGCATGGAGTGAAGAAGTGGTACTTATATATATATTGAGGGTGTGTGCTCTCTGTAGGACAGTACTTGCTAGTCATGGCATTGTGATGCTTTTACCGTGATGGCGCAAATGGTCCACGAGTCATCTTGTGCGCGTCTAAATTTGCCGGTGGGAACGGTGGACTGATGAGGGTACGCCTTCAGCCTGATCAGCGCATTCGCGACTTCAGAGGCATGTAGGAGCACAGGAGCCCCGAGCCTATGTCTTGATTGTATCACACCAGAGATGGGACACTGGGCGTGCCAGGCGTGGGACGTTGGCATGTAGATTGTGGCCCCCTTAGGCCTGATAAGGAGAGTTGATAAAAGGCCGGTGCATACAGCCTACGACATAGGTATATATAATACGTAGTCGGGACTATCCGTATGGTGGACGATAGGTTACGGTTCGATTTGCCGATTTGCCGCGACTTATTTTTGAATTCCGATCGATGTTTGTTTCAGTACTGTGAAATTTATTAATGTATACCTATAATTTACTTTCACCATGTTACGGTCCTGTCACAATCACACATCAGCGCTTCAGCGTGCACTCTACAGACATGCTACGTTCTCAAAATGTCTTCCAACCTGAATATCTTTGGCCAGAAGACTGGCCAGGGCCAGTATGTCATCCTTTAACTAATCAATCATGGTATCTTGACACATGTCAGGTTTGGTTACGGTGTAGAGACTCGTGCCTCGCATTGTGTGATATGGCACTTTCCACTAGGGAGTACACAGCACGACTTGCAGCATCACTCTGTGTGCTATCCACAGCTATTCCCTTACGAGGCGCAGCTTTCCCACGCAATGCGCAGCATGCGCGCACGACTTCCCGCGCTTTACGATGTATACGCGCGCGCTTTCCCGCGCTTGAGCGCCCTATAGCGCCAGCCATCCAGAAGCATCCATCCACTGTCCACCAAGCTCTCTAGTGCGTATATTCCCATTTCTCTTATTTACATATCGTTCCACCTCTATTTTTACCATGGACCCTTACTTACATATATCTTTACATACCTACTCGGTAGCGCTTCGGCTCCGCATGACAGCGCTTAGGCGCCATATAAGCGCCAGCAGTACATATTATTAGACACTTTACTTTCCAACAAGAACTTTACCTCCCACTTACCACCCACATACTACCTAGGAGAACATAGTAGAAATCTATTCTTTGACACCTCGCGCTCGTATCTCTTGCCTAGTATCTAATCACCCCTTAAGCAAACTCACTCTTACTCTCTCTCATTACCGCTCACGCGCGCGCGCTTCCCACGCCTCGCGCGTACCTTCGCTTTCCCGCGCCTTGTGCGCACCTGCGCACTTTCTCGCGCTTCGCATCAGCCGACCAGTAGCGCCTTCGGCGCGCACTACTAGATCCTTGCTGCACTCGCTTCCCCTTTAGGGTCGAACGCACTTGTCGTCTCAAGTATAGCAGACTAGGCAACGCGCGACCTCACAACATTTACAGATACAGTCTGGAGCATCATTTGTTCCTCACAGTATTGTTGTTTCTACAACGGTATCTACACTTCGTCGACGTCATCGAAATCGAATGACCCACCATTTGCTCTTGTGATGCTGCGCTGTTGAAAGCATGCTGTCAGCGACTCGGCACGACCATTGAATTGGTAAGCTGATATTGGACATGCTGTACGAAGCATAGGAATAGTCCAATGACTACTTCTCGGCCGTGAAGGCTGTCAGCAGCAACAGTGGAATTGTTATTGATATACTTGATGAATCTGCCGTGGATCTTCTCCTCTACAAGATAGATAGCATTGAGGCTGCCATCAAGACCATCGGGGATAGCCAGCACAGCACGAACAACACGAAGACGTGGTATAAGATCCACAACATCCTGGCTCACTTTACCAGTTTTCAGCATCTCATCAACAAATGTATATGCCATCCCAACCAAGGATCCACCCCAGTACAAGCAGTTTACTTCATCAAGCGTCTTACTAAGCTCGTCCTCTCTTCCAAACCGGCGGTGCCCTTTCACTTGGTTTTTTTTATTTTTATTTATTTTTAAAATCAATTTTTATGTCCTATGGAGAGGTGTGTTACAATAACATGTAACCGAGAACCCCTCCTACGGAGGTCATCATGACCTTAGCCCCTATCCCGCCATATGCACCGTCTTGGAAGACTTACCGACTCAACGGAGACTCGTAGAGACACTTAGAAACGGCCTGGATGCCGTTAGATGACCTAGACAAGCCTAGGCTACATCTGGACGGACCTAGATGGTCCTCGACCCGGATCATGGAGAAGCTCTGCTTCATGGTCAGAAGAAAAGCCGCATGCCGCAGCATGCGCAGTTAGACTCCAAGGCATGCTTCGCCTTGAGGACAGATAGAAGAGGCATGGTAAGCCTCATGCATAGATAATCGCCCGCATGGCATCAGATAAGATGCCCTTGTATAGACACACTCATACCTACCTACCGAACGTAGTATTGGTCTGTGCACACGGACGACAGTATATAGAGCAGACAGAATCATGTATATTCCCTACTTGATTCTACTAGGTTTTATCCAGAACTTCCTCTGAAAGACAGTCCCAGTCCTTCAGTCTAAGCCGCACCTTAAGGAAAGCCGACGCTACCTTAAGTGGAACCCCCGAACCTCTCATTCGAGAGAAGATCCCCGTCTCTCCAGTAGCGAGCCCGCTATCAGATTAGGCAATCCGCCTAGGGAGAGCTCGACCTATCCTAGTCCGTAACAAGGTGTACTCTAAGGAGGACAGTACTATCTAGTCTAGGGGACCCCCAGTGTCCCCAACACATCTCTGGGCGCACGAATGCCCTGGTGTAGGGCGTACCCCCACCAGTCCGCCGTTCCCGCCGGCCGTTTTAGACGTGCCGCCCTTCGAAGATGAGATGACTTGTGTATATACAGGAGCGATGTGTGTTCTAACGTTTTGCAAAATAGTAACGCGTACTCGGCCGCTTTCGCGGGCAGGTACAGGAGTCTGTTTGGAAATATAGGGAACGTGTGTGTGACATGGGCCCGGGGATGAACAGAGGGGCCTTTGTTCCGAATGGTGTGTTCCGTTAGGGCTGAGAGGCGCTGGTGACTCCATGTAGACGAGTGGGTGAGGTAGGTAGGGTGGGGTGGATATGTACATGAGAGGATTTTGATGAGGGTTAAGTGAGGATTCTAGCGAGAATTTGGGGTGCGTGTAACTGCGATGCGGGTGATTAGTCTGACGAGGTGCGCGGGGTAGGTACTTCACCGAGAATTGCTCTCATTCTTCCAGTAGCATTGATGTATTCGACGAGGTGACAGGTAGCTTCAGGCTCTGAGAGAAGAAATTGGATGGACGAGGCTTTTCGGCCCAGAGTTGTGACGAGAAGATGACGTTCTCTTCGATAGTGCGGGCAGACCAGAAGGTAATGGTGCACAGTTTCGTCATTGCCCGGACAATGAGGGCAGGAAGGGCTGGCTGATTTCTGTATGCGATGAAGGTGCTTGTTGAGCGGTGCGTGTCCCGTGCGGAGAAAGATGTTTACGATTTCCTCTTGTTTCAACAATGTCAGTATAGCAGCTCCAATGTCTGCCTTGTTTGCTTCAGAACATGTTCGAAACCGCCATGAAACTTAAAGATAACGACACTGCAATGTGATATGTTTTATTACATAAAATGTGACATTCACAACATAAATACAACGAAAAAAGGAAGAAAAAAACATAATGTATTGTTGTATGTGCGAGAAGCACAAGAGGCTCCAAATTATGTTGATGAGCGGCGAGACTCTCGATGACATGATGAAAACATAACATAAGTATGAGTGACAAACATAGGAAATATCACATAAAGGCAAGGGGACAGCATAAGGTATGATGTATCGTCGGAGGAGCACAAGAGGCTCCAAATTATGTTGATAAGCAGCGAGACCCTCAATGACGTGATAAAAACATAACATAAGTATGAGTGACAAACATAGGAAATATAACTTAACATAAAGGCAAGGGGACAGCATAAGGTATGATGTATCGTCGGAGGAGCACAAGAGGCTCCAAATTATGTTGACAAGTGGCCGAGACCCTCGATGACGTGTTGGAGGTTTAGCACCATGATCTGCAATAATCAGAGCCAACCCTCCAACGAGGCCCATGAGGGTACACTTGTTACTCTTAAGGAACTGAGGGAGACCCTCCAGGGAGAGGGATGTCTCAGAGACATGTTGTGTCCTACAAGGAAACCAGGTCTGACAGACCGTGGGAAGCACTAGAAAGTGCTGCCAAGGGTGCCATTTGAACAATATATTGTAAAGGCATGAATTCGTCTATCGTCTCTAAGACTGAGTCAGGCCAGGGTCGGTCCATAATCAAATCTTAGAGCAGTCAAACTATGTCCATGTAATTACACGGCCGTTTGTGACCTCTTGTGACAGGAATATTTGAGGTGTACCAAAGGTGTACTGACAAATAGTTCAAAAGACTAGAACAAACATTGATCGGACTTCAAAATAAGTTGCGGCAAATCGGCAAATCGAACCGTAACCTATCGTCCACCATATATCCGAACATCGAACAATGACGAAGGGTGAATATTAATACCAAACTCTAACAAAATAGATTGTGAAGTCCTTGACTTGCCGGATGACGGGTTGAGCTAAAAAATATATGGTAGATGTAGTCAGGAATACTAAAACCAGTGTGAGATGACGGATGTATGTGATGGTAGCGCGTGTCCAGGCTGGAGGTTGCAAGAAGTTCTGGTGGCGAATTCTGCGGTTAGCTCGAAGTTGAAGCTTTTGACGTCGTGGTGGCAATCGTTCGTTTGTCCCCCAGAAGTCCCGCAAACCTTTGCTGACTGACACAATCAGGATTTCCTGCAAGATGTTCTTTAATTCATGCAGTCAATTCAATCATTGTCCCATCTCTGGGTAGCGAAAGAGCGCCCGCGATAGTGATGAGGTCGTCCTTGCGCCCGTATAATGATAGCGAGCCGTCAAATACCTTCGTTTTGATGTCTTTCTCAATGCGCAAGAGCTGAATGGCCAATCCTCGACAGCTTCCTCTTCAGACAGTAGAGGAGCTGCTGTGATTTGGAAATATCCCTGCGAGGTACATACATACCCCTGCTATGGTCTTTAAGACTCTGCTGCGCGACCTGTACAATGAAATTAGTATTACAAGAACCTGAAAAATCCATCATCATACCTTGTGTACTCTTGCAGATGGTGACATCTACGGGTGCATCCTGGATCCTGGACTTATAGTTGGGGTCGGTAGATGCCACCAGCTTGCCTCGGCGATGCCCCATGGTTCCAGCTCAGCACTAGCGCTCAGCCGTGTTTGAAGTTTGAACGCTCATGAACTGTTACACAAATTCAATGTCCGACATCGGCGGCAGCCACGGCAGGTGACCAGGACGAGGCCCGAGCCACCCAAAGTTCCGATTCGTTTGTATCTGTGAGTGTCAATCGCCTCCGAATCTCTTCTGCTATATCCATTGTGACCATGTTGATTATTCAGTGGGTTGAGCTCGAAGACAACGGATCACGAGAAGAATCTGTACCGTAACGTTCGGACTTAGAATGACGGTATGAAAAATCAGGATAATCGGGGGTCAAAAACACTCAGGTTTATAACAGGGTCAAGACAACGCAACGTAGCAAGAACAAACGGGTAGTAAGACCGGCAAGGTACGATGACCGTTGGTAAGAATATCGATAGTTGTGACATCGAGTAACTGAAGAATAAATAAGCTAATGAGTGTAGTCAGGGGTTTGGAACGGGTTATTAGGTGGTTGCTCATAACTGTTCGACAGCGCCACCGGGCGTTACACTTATCCACTAACCGAAGTACTCACTTGTAATCAATCTCTATTGATGGAGACCATAATAATTTATCCTCACTTCAGCTCATTCCGAATTTCGCTCATAAATGAGGGGCTTTCTGAACTAGACATCGTATGTGGCCGCGATGTTTGCAGCCTTCCATGATCCTATCACAATGTCGGTAGCCTGGTACTATCACCCGCTTCAGTGCGGCATTGTCGTGGTCCAGGTGTGATCTGGTCTGATATGAGCAGATATGACGGCGATCCGATTACATCATGGGCCATGGTCTGCCACGACTTCAGTCGTTACGTGCCATGGCAGCGCGTTGGACCACGCCCTAGTCACGATCGGGCTCAGGAAGACTAGCCCATTGCCGATCCGTTCAACGGTGGTGAGCCCAGTGGTCAGACCAACTTGGATGCTCTCCCACGCTGAGTCCCTGTACTACGGTTGCGACTTGGTTACGATTGGCATCACCTCGGATATGGCGTCTAGTATCTACCTCTGTTTTGCGTCGTGATTGCTACCCTTTCGGTTGTTTCACATCCCTACTACGTGACGCTACGTCGCATCGTCGCTAGCCTGGAAACGTATGTGGGATTCTCGCGATGAGACTCTACAGTATATAAGTGCGAAGGGCGATGGTAGGCATATTAACTTTAAACCCCATATTTCCCCTCGCAGGCGACGCACTGATGGGATCATATTTGACCCGCCTTACATTCCTTGTTGCACTTCTAGCTGGCTTAGTTGTGCAAATACAGGCACTCTCCCCTGACTATCTCGCGTGCCAATTGCAAAAGGATGCGGAAACCTCTCCGTTAACTGGGTGCCCAGCAGGAACCCTGTATGTGTCGCCCACAGATAGCAGGGCAACTTTTACAAGTGTTCAAGCTGCTATAGAGTCTCTGTGGGTGACTGTCGGGATTTTTTGTCTTCTGTCCTGATATTCCTCCAGGCCACAGACGGGCGACGCTGTAATTCTGATTGGAGAAGGAGAATACTTTGAAATGGTCAATGTTGCGCGGTCCGCACCGCTCACTCTTCTGGTAATCATCACTTTCTCAGGCGTAAAGTTCAATTACCGAGATATTTTTTGTGTAGGGTCAACTTGATCCTTCCACTGCTTACGATTCAGCGGGTAATGCTTCTCAGCGCAACCTTGTTCACATTTGGAACAATATATATGTCAAAGATGGACTGAACGATGAGCAGACCGCGACTTTCACTATTTCACCTGCCTCAGGAGAGAATTTCGGTAACACTGACTTTAAAGCGTATAATATCGACTTCGAAAATCGTTCTGTAAGCGTTTATTTATCTCCTGTAATTATACATCTGTACAATATCACTCGATTCAGGCCAACTACTCGATTTCTCAAGCCCTCGTCACCGCCATCAGCTATGCAAATGCTTCCTTCTATGGCTGCACCTTTGCTAGCTATCAAGATACGTGGTACACCGGCAGCAACGCGCACACATATGTCGTTGACAGTATAATATACGGTCAAACTGATTGTAAGTCATGTTGTCTTGGAAAAGTCGGGTTGCAGCTGCTGATGTTGTGGCAAGATCTTTTCGGATTTGGCATGGCGTAAGTGTGTATTAATGCATGTATAAACACCCTGAGTAACCTTTGGAATAGCTGGTTCCAAAGCGTGATTTTGGCCAACCGAGCTTGTGGTGGTGGTATCACAGCCTGGCAAGGTGCGACTGGCACCAGGAATGGGGCATACATCGCCGATTCCAAAATAATTCGGGTCAGTTTTCTGGTCTGGTGCTCATGTTTTTTTAATGACTATTTTCGTTTTAAATCCAGTCCCCGGATGCCAATGCTACCACTCCGACTGATTCCGGCTGCTCCCTCGGTAAGCTAAGAACTGTAATACATGTTTTGGTTGTAAAGTTAAGCTTGGATCGCCTCCAGGACGCCCATGGAATGCGATGGCCGTTGCTGTGTACATGAACACCTACATGGACGAGAGTATTCGACCTGCAGGTTTCACTTCTTGGTCTGGAAAGTAAGCACTGTTGTTGGTTGGTTGTTGGGGGATGACACCGATCGCTGATTCTCTATGGCAGAGCAAGCATTCCAGACACCACTTATTACGCAGAGTTCAATTCGTCTGGTAAGCCTCATGCACTCATGCTGCAGGCGTCAGATCCTTACGCTCCTCGCAGGTCCCGGAGGGGATACGTCAGCGCGTGTAGCGCAAGATCATATCCTGACTTCCGACCAGGCATCATCCTTCACGCTAGAGGAAGTATTTGGCGGTATACCAGAGTGGATTGACTTTAATTATGAGTATTGATGGGTTTTGTCGTATTGTACTACAAAAACTCCGGTGACGGAAATTCGTCAGCAATTAATTGAACTTTCCTCGCATTTAGCATCCTCACACATACGGGAGCCACACAGGTCGATGCCGATCCAAGCCCATTGGAGCTTCCACATCTTTGACAGGCGTAACGGATAGCCGTGCTGCATGGCGAATAGCTGTCATCGTCCTGAGAGGCCCTTCAACGTCCCTTTTGTCACCTGTCGCCTCGTGGAGTGTGACAGATAGTGCTACTACCTCTAGGTTTGGTGGGTTCATTCGCTTTGGTAGAGGTTTCCCATCTCCGAACGCAGTATCTGGCGAAAGTTGCCCAAGTGATCGGAGCCACTGCGCCACTGCTGCTAAAGAGACACGGACCTCCCAGGAGCCGCCTTCCTGTCCAATAAGAGTTTTTTTAAGAGATTGACTACGACGATGAACGTCGCTGGGGCCTGAGGACTCACAGTGATCGTTTTTGCGATTGCAGCTTGAATTCCAAAAGCGAGGAAGTACCCTGCAACATGATCCAAGGCTTGTACAGGGAGTGCTCGAGGTTCTGGCTTATCCACGACGGGCAGCCCATTGAATTTAGCAAAAGCTTCAGCCTCTGCCCAATTAAAGCCCGTAGCAGTCTGCACGAGCGAGTCGAACTAGAGTTCTCATTGTCAGAAAGTATAATGATGAAAGTTAAAAAGATATTACGCCACGCTTGTGTTTCCAGGGACCCTCCCAACCGTACGCTGTCAGATTGGCGCATACAATACCAGGCCGAATTTTGGCAAGTTCCTGGGGTCCAAACCCTTTTTCCTGAAGGCCACCTGGTCGGTATGCTTGCAGGAATACATCAGTATCCTTGATTAAATTTTTCAGGCAGTCATTTTGTGGGGCTTGGGCGAGATCGAGCTGCGTTGTGCGCTTGCCACGAGATGTATCGACATCAAACGCGGGCAAATCAGGAAGCTTTGGGGAGGTAACGAGGAGCACGTCAGCGCCATACGCTGTCGAATTTGTAGATCAATAATGCAACCCGGATCACTTCAAGAGAGGAATATTGTCACATACCTGCAAGCGTTCGGCCGCACACCGGTCCTGAAAGTACCCGGCACAGGTCTAACACTCTAATTCCCTCGAGAGGGAACTGCAGAGACTCCTTGATGTCCCGTTTAGGAGCTTCTCCGATCTTGATGAGCTGGATTGGAGGCGTTCCTCTTAATGCAGCTGCTTGCGGATGCTTGTCCCATTCCTCGAATGACCTATAGGCACTAACACACATTTTCTGCTTTACTGCTTCATCTTCAAAATCTTTCGCATTCCATTGCAATAAAGCGGCTTGAATGGCTTCACGAGTGGGATCACACTGCAAAATATTGAGGATGCCCTGTCGGTGACTTTGGTGATCGTTAGCTACCAAACACCTGCCTAAAAATTGACGCAAGCTTACTGCGGGAAGTTGGTGTGCAGACGAACAAAACTGTCGTTCTTGGTTCTGTATATTCCTGCCAGGTAATCCCGCGCAGATGTAGTAGGCACCTGGCCATCTACGGTGTACCAAAATTCACTGCTTGATTTTAGTAAGATGAGATCAAAGATAGAGGGAAGAGTAACCTAGAGATGTCCAGAATAGCGTGACGTGCGTCGACACTGACGTCTTGCATATTTCCAGTCCTCAGAGAAAGGATATATGCAGCTGCTAGGCCTGATAGGCCGATAGATGTCTCAAGGGGGTTTGCTCATATCGATCGACATGCGGGCATTCGAGAGAGGTTTGCTTACCTGTGCTGCGTTCCCTAGCTTGAAGGAAGAATCAATAGCAGTGTCAGGGCAGCCACTGAGTTTGAGATGTGAAAGAATCTCTGGAGGCAAATCATTGGCGAGCCAAAGAGAAGCAGCCTGATCGCATGATTGTGATATGTAGGACATGCTTCTGCGCCAAATATTGAACGGGAGATATGGTCGGAATGTTTAGGAAGTGCACAGTGGTGACCTGACTGGGATAGTAGTAGGATAGCAAGAGTCAGCTGAAAGGGTGTCCGAGGCTACAAGAATGTCACAAAAAGAAATATGAATTGTGCATGTCCAACGCGTTGGCTGACAGCTCAGCACGCTCGCCAGGTCTCGGACACAATCTTTGCGGGTGAGGTCTGTATAAATGCAGAATCCTGAAGATCATGCCAACTCATCGAATACATATATAGGCTAAGGGTACAGGTATGGGAAAATTAATGTCCGTCAACACGATCCACTAGCACTTGGTCCGACGACCTACCGTATAGCATGATTTGAGCTCGTTGTCTCTCCTTTCTTGCAATTGCCTCCTTTTCCTCTCTGTCGACGGTAGAATGAAACTAGAAATCGCACAATTCTATCGGGTACATTCCCTCATTGAAAGCGGAAGTTTAAATGTGTCGGGATAAGCCGCGAAACCGAGAACTCCCGAAGAGGTGAATATTTTGGTAAGCGCAGCCTTTCGTTTACTCTGTCCTCTTCGGTATGGTCTCCAGAGCACTGTCGGCGTCGCTAGCCCGTTCACTCAGGACTTCAGCACGCAATCCTGTAAGTTTTCAGGCTTTCTATGTCGTCTCACTTTGATTTTCATCCCCAACCACAGCGGCCTTTGCGGTCATTTGCGACAGCTGTGAATATTCCATCTCCCATCACCCAAACAACAACTCTCTCCAATGGCCTAACTGTCGCAACAGAGTCTCATCCTCATGCACAGACCGCAACAATTGGTGTCTGGATTGATGCCGGTTCCCGTGCCGAGACTGACAAAACTAATGGCACTGCCCACTTCCTTGAGCATATGGCCTTCAAGGGCACCAAACGTCGCAACCAACACGCGTTGGAACTCGAGGTTGAAAACCTTGGCGCACATCTAAATGCGTACACCTCTCGCGAGCAGACCGTGTACTATGCAAAGAGCTTCCGAAAGGATGTTCCGGTCGCCGTTGATATCATTTCCGATATTCTGCAGAATTCCAAATTGGAGACTACAGCTGTTGAGAGGGAACGTGATGTCATTCTTCGAGAACAGCAAGAGGTCGACAAGCAGCTCGAAGAGGTCGTGTTCGACCATCTTCATGCCGTTGCTTTCCAACGTGCGTCTTTTGCTTCGATCTCATACGTGCTTTACACTCATTCATGATCTCTTGTAGACCAACCGCTTGGTCGTACCATTCTTGGCCCCAAAGCCAACATTCTTTCCATCAAGCGTGACGACCTTGATTCTTACATCAAAACTAACTACACCGCCGACCGCATGGTTCTCGTCGGTGCTGGAGGTGTCGATCATCAGGAGCTGGTTCAACTTGCTGAAAAACATTTCTCCTCGCTTCCCACCTCGCAGAACCCGATTCCTCTTGGCCGTCTTGCTCATCCTCGTTCGAACTTTGTCGGTTCAGACGTTCGGCTCCGTGATGATGCACTCCCGTGTGCACACGTCGCCATTGCCGTTGAGGGTGTTGGTTGGAGCTCACCTGACTACTTCCCCATGCAGGTAATGCAGAGCATCATGGGCAACTGGGATCGCTCCCTCGGGGCTTCTCCTCTTCTCTCATCCCGTCTTTCCCACGTCATCTCATCGAACAACCTTGCTAACTCATTCATGTCCTTCTCCACGTCTTACTCCGACACTGGTCTCTGGGGCATTTACCTCGTGTCTGAGAACCTTATGAACCTTGACGACATGGCACATTTCACTCTGAAGGAATGGTGCCGCATGTCTATGGCTCCGACTGATGTCGAGGTCGAGCGCGCCAAGAGCCAGCTCAAGGCCGGCTTGTTGCTCTCTCTTGACGGGACGACTGCTATTGCCGAGGACATTGGAAGGCAACTTGTCACCACTGGTCGCCGTCTCACCCCTCAGCAGATCGAGTTTGCAGTCGATGCTGTGACTACGGATGAGATCAAGCGCGTTGCACAGAAATACCTGTGGGACAAGGACGTAAGAGTTTCTTCCTAGACTGGAGCTGGGCGCATTCACTTAATCACTCCTGTGTAGATCGCTATTGCAGCTCTCGGTCCGCTTGATGGACTTCTCGATTACAACCGCATTCGCTCAGACATGTCGTCCATGACATATTAAAGGTTAGTTTCGTCCATTGTTGTTTGCATTGGATAATGTGCTCACGGTTCAGTTACAGGATGGTCAGGTGTGATTGTTATTGAGACGCTAGCTAGACGATACGCTGTTCGCCGTTGTTCGTTCCGAGTAGACAGCGGAATAAATGACTTTTAATACCAATATAATTTACCAAGAACAAATCCGATGACAATTGATAGCTGTTCCTGTTCATGGCGAAAATTTGATCGATGATTTCACGTGCAGATCATCAATCAATTTTTTGTCATGGATTCTAAGCCTATAGGTGGTTTGTAGTAAAGACTGGTTGCGAGTCTAACTTACCATGGGGTGAAACATTTGTACTAGCCAATTGACAGGCATTGCGGTGGTAGACAGCACGATTTTCAACAGGGATGCACCCGCTTCATAACTTCATTCAATGGCCAGCGCTGAGCGCTCGTACGCGTATTATAGAATGCATTTTCTGTATCAGGCCTGTCAATGATAAAGTGAAAAGAAGGCCAAATACAACTTGAAATACAATACTAGTACAAGTCGCAGTAGCCCCCATCAATAGTCAGATATATACTCGCCCGCAAGTCGAGGTGCACCGCACATATTATTGTATACGCGAAGCAGGGGACACGCGCGAGCTATAACGCTTCCCCGGGCCAGCCAACTAAAATTGCTCCTGGAACCACGAAAGACTTGATCACTGGTCCCAGTCACTTTTATTCTTCACAAACATCATTACGAAGCCTCCACTTATGGTGTAGCCGAACGCAAAGTAGCTCTAACGCTTTGGAAAGCCTTCCTGTGACTGCATTTGCTTTTGTGGTAGAGTGGCACCCCTGATGGCAGAAACAACTTCATCGCAGTGCTCGTGTGCATTGGTTACTACAGCTCTGGTAACGACTCCAGAACCACACTGGGACTGAACTGTATCCACATTTATTTTCATTTCGCTGTTGCTCTGCACCGTACTCGCACGTACTACTACTTGCCCTTGAAGCCCTTCGCACGGATCGATTCGCGCATAGTCAACCATACGCCGCTCTAGCCAGAGTTCGATGTCAGTAGTTATGGATGTTCATGCAGGTATAATATATATATATATTTGTCAAAACACGGTATCCAATGGCAAACCAGTGCCGAAAGGCCCAAACCAATACAATAAATATTTATACATCAGTTCCGCCTCTGGATATCCCTTTGGGCCGATATTTCAATATCCACGGGTGTCGTGAGACATCAGTTAATGGGATGCGCTCTTCAGGATTGTATTTGAGTAACTGCAAGGCGATCAGAGTCTGTAGATCACTGAGTCACGATGTGTACATACCTGTGTTATCAGGTCTCTTGCCTCGGGAGAGACGAGCGATGGAATTCTGAGGTCGACTTTAGCTATTCGACGGTAAGTGGCTTGAATTACAAGCGTGAGATAAATGAAAGGGTAAGTGCAAGAGGTTACTTACCGTTAACGCTGCTCCTATCTTCAAAGGGAGGATTGCCAACTAAGAACTCGTACGTCAGTACACCTAGAGCCCAGTAATCTACCTTCTCGTTGTGTTCCCTTCCCTCTACCATCTCAGGTGGCAGATAATCGAGCGTCCCGCATAGCGTCATGCGTCTATTGCCGGGTGCGTGTACGCTCCATCCAAAGTCGCCAATCTTGAGCTCACCATTGATCCCCAACAACAGATTCTCCGGTTTGATATCTCTATGAATGACGTGCTTGCCATGCAAGTAGGACAAAGCATCTGCCATCTGGTCGATATATCTCGAGCTCCGTTTCTCTGAAAAGCTGCCATGCTTGGAGAGCTGCTTGTATAGCTCGCCCTTGCCGGCGAACTCGAGCATGAGGAAGATGCGTTTCTCGTCATGGAAGTAACCATACAAGCGAAGTACGTTGGGGTGCCGAAGATTTTGTTGAATTTCAATTTCACGTCGAATCTGTTTCTCGACACGAGACTGGATGATTTCGGATTTATACAGACATTTGAGGGCGAGGATGTATTGCGGCTCGCATTTAGTGCGGACCATGTACACGCGCCCGAATTTTCCCTTTCCGAGAGGGCGACCGATCTCGAATGAGGGGAGACTCCACTCTCGAGTGGGACGGGCTCTGAGGGTGATGTTGGTGATGAGATGTCACTAACGTCATCTCCACTCACCCCAATACACTAGAATCGAGAGCAAGTGCTTCAGCTGCCTCTCCAAAGACCTTTTCACCCCTTTTCTCGTTGTCTAGCTCGAGGCCACCATCATACTTGCCGATGTCAAGTGAGGGCTGGGGTTCTGAAGGAGTTACCGCTTTACTAAGTCGAGCTGGAGCATTTGTATTCGTTTGATTGCGGAGAGCAGACGGTTGAGTAGGTTTTGCTGTAGGAGGATGGGGTGCGGCATATTTTGTGAGCAATTTGGCAACATTTGTTTGGGAAGGTTGCTTGGTATGGCCGGGACGAGAAGATTGTTGGTGCTTCTTCGAGGAGATTTCGAGGGCAGCGATTTGTTTGGTGACCGCACCTATTGATGCCATGTTCCGGGGGGACAAGTATACTTTATACTTTAGAGTGAAAGGCTACGGGTGTTGAAGGGATGCGGCAAAACGCGTGGCCGTGCAGCTATGGAGTTGGTTCAACTTTTCGAGCCCCGCTCACGCGTCGATCACATGATCGATCTTTTAATTTATGTAGTACAGGCCCTCTAGATTTTTGTAATATTGTATTGTGTGGAGGCTAAGCGCTAAGCCTCAAGCTGATGTACAGCTACTTCCATATCGATAGACAAGGTTTCGTGTCACCAGTTCTATTCACATGTGGAGCTAGGTTCCCGCTCATGACGGCGAAATACTCTTGAATGGTACATAGTAGTAGTACTGAGGGCGCTCGGCTTGTCAGTGACGCCGCATACACACCGGTGGCTATCCAACAGCAAGAGGTCATTAAAGCCCCCTACGAATAGGGCTCATATGTCCATCATAGGGTCCTCGACCCCAACGGACGATAAACTTGATTTTTTTTTTAAAAAAAAAGAGGTCATTACGTCTGACCACATGTGAGCTGAGGGGGAAGGTTGTAGGAAGTAGCGAACTTCTGGGGGTATTCCGCCCTTGTTCCAAACAGTTCGTAAAAGGTGGAACTCTGTTGTGCAAGCAAGTAGACACGGCAAAATTTGATATGAAAATACAGCCACATGATAAATAGCTCGACATCGACGGAGATCCCAAAATTTTAAGAAGTCGCTGAAATCTATTCTCGGATTCAATCTCTTAAGTGCTGTACTATTTTATCTAAGCTCGTATCTTAAGATCTTAAGTATTATACGATATCCTTTTACATAAATATGATGCCACGTTCTGCAAAACATCGTCCTAATCAACTAAAAAGAAATAAGATCCGTCAGAAAAGCTCAGCCGCCATGCATGTGAAATCCATAATTTGGGCGTACAGCTCCTCTCGTGGCACGCAGGTGACACTCCCGTACATGCCGGGGGTGATTGTCTTTCATCACTATCCTCCCGCAATTAGGCCACAAGCACTCCACCTTGAAACGGCCTTCTTCTACGAAGATCCGACGAAGAGAATTCATGTCATAAATCCCAAAAGCGCTTTCGGTTTCACACACAGCCGGTCCTTCCATGGAAATACCTGCGCTGGTTCCTGGACCCACGTCCACAACGTCAAAAGACATGGGAGAAACTTCGAGGGGAGCGACAAGTGGCATCAATGGAAATGCGAAGTGTCCGAAGTGTGCATCGTGATGCAAGTAAGGATGAGCTGACTGCAGGTAATGCCTGATAATCGAGATTGCCTCGCTAACGGTCAGCTGTTGACCGTGTACCAACTGAAGGTGGACAAGGTAGGCTTCAACAAAGGATACCATCCGTGTGTCGACCGTTGGGGGAGCAATGTGATTCCTGACAAAGCTGTCCCATGATCTACGAGATGGTCAAGTACCGACTCAAACCTTAGAGTGAATGGAACTTACTGATGCTCCGTGAAATTTCTGGGTGGAGATAAGCCCACGGGGTAAGCCAATTCTGCAGGCAAAACACCTGGAGTAACATTATCGATGCTGTTGATTGCGTGGTGGGGTGTTAGAAGATATCAGTCGAGTCAACGTTGAGCACTGCTTACATCACCTGACTGAGAAAATCCTGGCATGGGCCAATGGGACTGCGAACAAACATGTGACTGAAGAAATCATCTGTCGCGTGTGTGTTAATCTGGTAGCTCTCGAGGTTTGCTGTCAGCTCTTCCAACATGCAAGATTGCGAATTCATGACGGGTGAGAGGACATGTTCACTGTTCAGAGTCATTTATACAACAGTACGTTCGATGCCGCGACTGCGGCAATAAATGCAATGATCATCGATCGAAGTCCAGCCCACAGCAACATACCTTAAGCATCAGTAATTATACATTATTTTTGCCGAGTGTATGGAGCTCTGGCAGCGATGATGATGCATGATCTGATACTTGTTTATTGGTCAGCGCGTAATTTGACGCTAGGCACTATATTCAGGCATTCCTGTGTTGCCTTCTGACTCATAGGCAATTCTCGGCGATGACTGGCGCATTGAGCGCAGTATAGCGAATGAACGTGAAATTAGCGAAAACTGTCTGGAGTAAACTGAAAAGTGAATTCTGGCCTGTGTGGCCTTGAGCACACCGGAATTCAAACGATATGTGCTCCCAAATTAAATGCACCGCAAGGTGCCAATCATCGAAGTCAATCAAGATAAATTTTGAAGGAGACTGAACGCCGTCTTACGGTATTACTTTGGTAAGTGGCTTGCACGGCCACTTGGTCCGAGTCTATCAAGGCGCGTCTTTAGTAGACCGGTTGCCAAAGTGATGCATCGAGTGTAGCACCAACGGAGTCAGCTTGAACTTGCAAATAACCAGACCTAAGTTACGAATTGAATCAAATGTTTGATCCATAACTTGCAGGACTGAAGCTTACAGAGCGAGTTTCCTATGCGCTAATACTTAGAATATGTGATTCAAGTCACTGAGACTGCAGTGTAAGCCAGTGGTGCTATCTTTAGATAATCGGGTACTTACTACACGTTCCCGGTAGCCGACTTCAACGAAGTTTTGTCAGACGGCAAATATCTGGATAGAAGATAATTTGTCAGTCACCTATATGAACACATATGCTGCGTACGCCATGACGATCGAAAATCACAGAAACCTATAGTAGAAACTGGTAGAAACGGGCAGAAAACCGAAGTTCATCCAAAGTTCGTCGATATCAAAACACAAGGTTACTTAACCGTAGGGGCGCCATCTCCGACTCGAGACTCGAGACCCGAGCCAGTACTCTGACGTACGTCTTTTGAGAGGTGGGGAATTTTAACTTACTGGTCGCCTTTGTATTAATGCGTGGTTGAGGTGAAGACGAGATATTCTATGTGTATAGTAGGATCAGTAGGATAACTAATATTGAGGGAGAAGTGAGTAGACTACTAGAGAGAAATGGGAGGCTCAGGGAGGGTTTTATAAAAATGAATCAGACGAAGTGTTTTTTTTTATCCTTGATTATTGTCCGGTGGGGCGTGGCCCTATGTTGGACAAAGCCTCGTCGAGTGTTGATTCGGTTCAAACCGTGTGTGGGAAGGTCTGGCTTTGCTGGACGCGCAAAGGGGTTAGTGCGGCCCCGCCGCAGGCTCATGCATGCTTGCGAAGTGTCGCCCTATCGGAACCCAGATCTTGCTTAGTAAGCTTGACAGAAGCTCTGAAAATTTTAAGGCGCTCCGTCTTCGAAGTTCGTGATCTATTCTCATATTCAATCTTATATGAAAAACATTATTGTCTTCTCTTGATCTAAGCTGGCATATTAAGACTTTTATGATATGATGCTACGTTCTACACGATACAAAACATCTTCCCAATCAACTAAAAAGAAATACAATCCGTCAGAAAAGCTCCTTGCATCAGCCGCCAGGCAGCTCATTTGTGCGCACAGCACCTCTCCTGGCACGCAGATGACATTCACGTACATGCCGGGGGTGATTGTCTTTCATCACTATCCTCCCGCACTTGGGCCACAAGCACTCTACCTTGAACCGGCCTTCTTCTACAAAGATACGACGAAGAGAATTCATGTCGTAAATCCCAAAAGCGCTTTCCGTGTCAGACACAACCGATCCTTCCATGGAAATACCTGCGCCGGTTCCTGGACCCATGTCCACAACGTCAAAAGACACGGGAGAAACTTCGACAGGAGCGACAAGTGGTGTCGACGGAGATGCGAAGTGTCCGAATTGTGCATCGTGATGCAAGGAAGGGTGAGCTACCTGCAGGTAATACCTGATAATTGAGATTGCCTCGCCAACGGTCAGCTGTCGACCGTGTACCGCCTGAAGACGGACAAGGTAGGCTTCAACAAATGATGCCATTTGTGTGTCGACCGTTGGGGGAGCGACGTGACTCGTGACAAAGTTGTCCCATGATCTGTAAGATGGTTAAGCACTGACGTACTGACTCGAACTTTGAAGTAGATCGGGCTTACTGATGCTCCGTGAAATTACTGGGTGGAGACAAGCCTACAGGGGAAGCCAATTGTACAGGCACAGCACCTGGTGTAACATTATCGATGCTGTTGATCGCGTGATGGAGGTGTCAGAAGATATCAGCTTAGTCAACGTCGAACGGTACTCACATCGCCTGACTCGGAAAATTTTGGTATGAGCCAATGGGATTGGCAATAAACCCGTGACTGAAGAAATCATCTGTCGCGTTTGTATTAATCTGGCAGCTTTCAAGGTTTGCTGTCAGCTCTTCCAACGTGCGATATTGTGAATTCATCACGGGTGATTATTGAAGGGACATCTTCATTGTTCGGAGCACTTTATACAGCACATTCGATACTCCGGTAACAAATGCAATGGTCAAAGTCCGGTTCACAGCAACATACCTCAAGCAAGGTATTACCCAGTGGTCATACAACAGTGTATGTAGCAGTGTCGGCACATTGCACGGCCTGATACACGTTTTGCGTGGTCAGCGTGTTATTTGACGCTGGGCACTATTCAGGCATTATATTCAGAAATTCCCGAGTCGCCATTATAGGCAATTCCCGGCAATGACCCACTGGCGCATTAAGGACACTATAGCGAAGGAATCTGAAACAAGTAAAAATGCACGGAATAAACTGAAAAATTGGACTCTGGCCAGCGTAGCCCCGAGCACACCATTCAACGATATGTGCTCCCAAACCAAAATGCAGATTCGCAAAGAGACGACGATGAAGTCGATCAAAGTCCATCTTCCGGTTTGACTTTGGTGAGCGGCTTGCATGGCCACTTTGACGGTCGAATGCGTGTCTTAGTACATGAACCGGTTGCCAGAGTGATGCATCCAGTGTAGCATCAACGGAGCCAGCTTCAAGTGGAGTGAACGTGCAAATTACCACGCCTAGTAAGTTACGAGTTGAATCGGATATTTGATTCATGACTTGCATGACTGAAACTTACAAGAATAGATGGGTCCATCCTATGCGCCAAGACTCGGAGTGTTAGATTATGCGATTCAGGTCACTGAGACTCACCAGCGTAAGCCCCGCCGGGAGACTTCTAGCGGTGTTATCTTTAAATAATCAGGTACTCCCCTCGCAGCACTAGTAGTTCCTGACTTCATGTCACTACAACATAGTGACATTGCGCAACCAGCTGCTTGCTATTGCAAGATGAAATCCCCTGTTACCAAAAATTTCAGTTCGCTGGAATTGTATCACTGCAGGACACGAGTAATCGCCGTTCAGACTGCATGTACAGCCATGAGTGAGTCAGCATCAGAAGACTGATGAGCCACAGATATTCATCGTACTAGGAGATTGGCAGTGTAATCGGCACCCCACAAAAGTCGGCAAGTCGCGCAAATGTCACTGTAGGTCACGGCATGTCACATAGTATCCGTGCTAATTGTAGCCAGAGGATGGTTTCACTTTTCGACTTCTGTGGGGTGCCGACTGCACCAGTTGAAGGGATAGTATAATACAATCGGGTTAGCTTCCCAAAACGAGGTGCTTTCTTGGGGGTCGCCTTCTTTCTTTGGTTACCAAATTCTATTCGGGTCCGGGAGTCACATACGGTCGGGCGAGCGGAGTTTCAAAAACAGTCGTCCCTTGCTATGGCGCAGCCCTCGGTATTTGATTTCTCACGTGACAATTTTTTTGCTGCGTGGAGTCGTGTTCTCCTCGAGGTCCGCCGTTGTGCATACAAATCCGCACAGCAGGGTGAAACTGACAAATATTTCAGTTGCTGTAACACATGGCAAGCACGAACATCGTGGCTGAGCCATCTGCCTCTATGATCTTGCCCGGCACATTCTCTGATTACGCGACCTCTGTGCAATCGGCTGCACTGGTTACAACTCGTCTCGCTGCTACTACACTACCACCAGACATAGAATTCCACCGTTCCATACATGTGTCATTTGCTGCGGAGCTTGACTCACTATCTACCCGAGTCCTCCGGCTTACCAACAGGCTCGTGCGACTTGCAGGCTCTGTGGATAGCAGTGCTGTGGGATGTGGCACACTAGATGGCGAGGAAGACGTTTTGGACGGTTTCAAATCCTTGATCGTCGACCCGGTGGACAGACTTTTTGAGAGGACAGACATGTGTTTGGATGATTATTTGGGGCGTAAGAAAGAGCCCGCTATCACGGTTTCCGCTCTACCGAATCAGAGCAACAATACATCAAAGGTACATCCGATACCGTTTAAAATTCGCGACTACTAAGTATTTATTACTGCATAGAAACCCTCAGCTCCCAGAGGACGCCTTGACCCTGCGTTACAGCATGCTTCTCATCTGCCAAAGCCTCAACTGCTGTTCAATACCAGAGTGGACAACCGGAATGAGTCACCGTATATTCCAGCCCGTACTCTTGAGCACAAGTGGTGTGCTCGTGTACCGATTGGATACATATTCCATGACCAACACGAGAGTGGTAGCATGGACGAGGAAGAAAAGCAAAAGCTGTTCGTCCTTTCTAAATTTGCGACAATCGCTGTCTCAGTTCTTGTAGATCGGCGCACCCCTATTATTATGAGCTCACCCATCCGACGTTCCCTACTCATCTCTTCCATCCAGCCCCTACCACTAATCGCCCTGCTTCTCTCACAGGTACCGACGTCTCGAAGCACATATATGTCTCAACTCCATCTGCTCTTTTGTCGATGGCTACAAAACTCAAAACAGCGAAAGAGATCGCTGTCGACCTTGAGCACCACTCATATCGCACATACAGAGGGTTTCTTTGCTTGATGCAGATTAGCACACGCGAGGAGGATTTCATAATCGACTTGCTGGTACCAAGTGTACGAGATTCGATAGGTAACGCACTCGGTGAAATTTTTGCTGATCCAGAGATTGTCAAGGTGCGCTTGCATAATTCGTAGGGGGCAGCTTTGGGTTTCATTTTCTTATGGCTTTTAGGTCTTCCATGGTGCAGAGAGTGATATTGTGTGGCTCCAGCAAGACTTCAATATTTTTGTCGTTGGACTGTTCGACACATATCATGCCTCAAGGGCGCTAGACTTTCAGCAGCATGGCCTTGCGAATTTGCTAGAGGCATTCTGCGACTTCATACCCGATAAGCGGTATCAGCTGGCTGATTGGCGCATTCGGTATGTCGAAATTATTTTTGGCCTGTCTTCTTTCCTTCCTCCTCCAAATCACGGGACGGATCGTACCTGGGGTGACGCCCTTGGGTTTGATGCCTACGCTCTTATTGGAATCAATGAAACCTATTTCAGTCAGTCTGTCGTATCATCAATATTGCTTCACTTTTATCTTCATTTGTTTTTGTCTTGAAGGTTTTGTTAGGACCGACGGAACGCTGGTTTTTTGGAACCAATTTGCGTCCGTATCATGTGTGAGCTTCCCATGATGGCTATTCTGTTTCTGTATACGTTATCAACTTTGCGTCACCTCCAATTTGATCCACTTCCTCTTGAGGATATGATAGCTAACTTTCAATCTGCGAAGTCCATTGCCAGAGGAGATGCTCACATATGCACGCTCCGATACTCACTTCCTGTTGTATATCTATGATCGACTTCGACTCTCCCTTATCGAGCGTGCACAGACCATCATTGCTCCAGAAGCATCTTTCTCGACCGCAATATCTGCTATAATCAAGGGCACTATTTCCGATAAGCCAGCGCACGTGCTACTGAATGATGTATTGGCACGTTCGACTCGCACTGCGCTAAGGTTGTATGATCGCGAGGCATACGACGCCGAGTTTGGCGTAGGTACAGGTGGCTGGGATACGCTTGCGCGGAAATGGAATAAGGGTGCATTGGCCAACAGTGCCAGCGAGACTAATGGTGTACGAGGTGGTGTAATTGGAGAGGTATACAGGGCAGTACATCGATGGAGGGAGGATATAGCAAAGGAGGAAGATGAGAGTACGAGGTAAATATCGCCTCCATATCTGGGGGACCATTGGTTCCACAGAATTGGCGGGCCCCCTCTGCTTATATATTTACTAACCTGGCGTCTAGATATGTTCTCCCAAATCACCAACTTTTCGTTGTGGCCGAGCGGTCACCATCCAATGCTGCTCAACTCCTCGGGCTCTTCTCACACGCCAGTGTTCCCCCTGTCCTACGACGAAGAGCAGGTGAACTTGCAGAAGTCATTAAGTCCACTGTGGAGCGAGTAACATCTTCAGGAGTTGCTGTTGGGGCTGTCGCAGCGATCACAAATGTCGAAGAAGTCGAACAAGCTGCCTCGACTGAAGTTGTAGTCGAAGAAACTGCAAAATCTAAACTGTGGGGGTCAGTGAAAGTTTCTTCCTCAGTTGTTCAGCGTACATCCTCTCTCTTCGGCCCGCGGACCGCAGTGGCTGACGAAGGAAGTTCATATTCGGCTTCGCGAAGTTCATTATTCGGCGCCGCACTACCTTCTCGCGTGACGCCTCAAGTAAGTTAGCCCACCTGCCTGCATACTTCTATGATGCGATCATCCTTTTCAGAACTCAGTACCAATTATATCGACCAGTAGAAAGAAATTTAGTGACCTCGTGACACGGATACACCGGACCCTCGTCATTGCACCTAACCAACCACAGGCAAGCCAATCCTTGCATTTCCACATATCTTATCGTCATCTCAATACTTAGATTATCCAAGTCGGTTCTCAGATAGTTTCCCAATCTAGCGTCTCCTCGGGCTCTGCCTCGACACAACCAGCGATTTTCTCCAGCATGGCTCCAGCAGAAGCACCTGATGGTATCCTTGGACAAGTAGAAATCCCGTTCATTCCTACCGATCAGCGGCAGCCCCGTCTCGCCCCTGTTTCAGATGATACCATTGTAGTCGTGGGTCAGGCCAGGCAGAAGAAGCGTAAACGGATCAAAACTACGGTATTGGATAAACCCCAAACCGGAGATCAGGACGACATGGGTGAGGATGAGGCATTTGATTATGCGACAGCGCCGAACCTACTGGATGATCTCCCGCCGGCTCCTGAGGAGCTCGACACGAGGAAGAAAAAGAAGCAAAAAGCCAAGGGTACGTGATTGGTTATTTTCTCGATCTCCTTTGTTACAATCATCCAGTATCCCACAATCCTCTTTCACCTACATGTCGCTTTAACATCTATCCCCATCGTCCTTCGGCCGAAGTGTTGTATGCGCACGCTTACCTGACTTGTGACAGGTACCGGAGTCATAGAGTATGGCAATTTTCGCGCACCACCGCGAGATATGCGTGAGGTTAAGAGTGGTAACAAAACCCATACATTTAGATGACAATAACGTTGTATCTGTGCCTTCACATCTTGGCAGGTGTTGTTTATATGCTATGTCGCTCCTATGTGCGATCTGGACGACGTCAATTCTGCTCTCGTGTGAGTGGACATCATGCTGAGGTCTTTGAGCAGGGATTTCTGTTGTGCTATTGGACTCGACCTGCCACTTGAAAAATGCAGACCAATATCACGAGGCAAACACAAAATGTGACCGCTGACGCTTGAGTATGGCAGACGGACTAAATCGGCAGTATCTTTGGAAATCTTGGAACAGACTTGCCTGTAATTTTGTCGCAACAATTTCCGGCCGTGGATAGCCAGGCTGGATGACCTTTACGCAAAGGTGTGCACACGGTGTATTTTTCGGCAGCCACCTTGTCATACCGGCATTGCAATGTACTTGGGAGAGCGTAAGATGACCTTGTGAGTGACTCCTTTGGCTCTATAAGAAGTGATACTTTTTGTGTCGGAGGCTACTAACTTCCACTGCTTCATGTGCAACTCATGGCTACTCCGACCATTGCAAAAGCGATTCCTGTGTCCGAACCTAAATCACTACTCCATAACTCTCATGTCGAACCATCCCCTGACACCAAAGAAATAATTGATATAGAACATGTTCCAGTTAACGACGATCCACGCCAATGGAGTTACGCCAGAAAAGTACGTTCAAGACATCATTTAATGCTCTTAGTTGGCCAAGTTGACGCTGTCTCACCTGTAGACCGTAACTTTGTGTATTGTGTCCCTGGCTACAATGGTGTCCTCGTCAGCGGCTAGCATCCAAAATCGTTCGTCGCATGTCTTTACCTATTGCATGGTTTTGAGTTGACGTCATCTCATAGCCTCGAACATTCTGATAAGAACAGATCTACATGCAACAAATAATCAGATCAGCTGGACATTAGCGGCGTTCATACTCGTACAAGGCAACTTTCCACTGGTATGGAGCGCCATAGCTGAGATTACAGGCCGCAAGGTTGGTCGCCTTTGTTGATCTACTTAAGAATGCGGATCTTGATTATCGTAGGTCATCTATCTGCTGTCTTCGGTTTTATTTGTAGTGGGGAGTGCTGTCCTAGCACTTTCAAAGACAATCGAAGTGATGATCGCTATGCGAACACTTCAAGCAGCGGGGTAAGCTCTTATCTGAGAAACTTGAGCGCGGATTGATGTCTTGCAGATCAAGTGCTTTCTTGGCTATTTCAGCTGCCACTCTGGCCGATATTTATGATACTCACGAACGTGGGACCATGATGGGCGTCTTCTATGCTGCACCTCTTTTAGGACCCGCACTCGGCCCTGTGATCGGCGGGCTATTGTCGCAGGCCTTCAACTGGCGTGCAATTTTCTACTTTCTGCTGATCTGTGGAGTGATCATCTTTCTCTTCTTCCTCATCCTGTTTAAGGACACATACCGATGTGAACGAAGTCTCACGTATTACTCTGCCCTGCAACGACGGGATGCCTCCCGAGGACCCGTTCGGCATCCCAGCCAGTCTACCATCGCAGGATCTGAGTTCAGCAAGAACCAAACACATGACAAGGACCTTGAGAAGCAGTTCCAACTCCCGGTTGTTCCAGAGAAGATTCCATCGGCGACGCCTACACCAGGGCCGGATAATATTAGGCTATCAATAAAGGATATCAACCCTTTTCCACCATATTTACAAATTTTGTCACGAAAGAACAACGTTCTAGTTCTTACTGTTAATGGTGGGTAAAGGCTGGCTTCCCGTTTTATATATCACTAACGACCTCACTAGGACTTGTCTTTGGTTTCAACTATTGTCTATCATACACATGCGAACGCACTCTCGCCAATGTGTATGGTTATGACGCACTAAGCATCGGCTTGGTGTTGCTTTGCCTTGGCATTGGTGAGATCCTCATCATCTGGATTGCGGTAGAGACTAATTTCTCATCAAGGGAGTGTTGCTGGGAGTATAATTGGTGGACGTTGGTCTGACCGGGTGGTTGGGAAGATGATAAAAGCAAACGGAGGACAGTGGCATGCAGAAGTAACCCTTTCTGAAGCTCTTTCACGGGAACTTTTTTGATTGACTTCTTATGAAGATGCGATTAGAGAGCTCAAAACTGACAATGCTGTGGATACCTTTATCTCTCATCGGTTATGGTTGGGCGTGCGACAAGCATCTCAACGTGGCTGTCATTTGTGTCATGCTTGTCCTTGTTGGATTCACAACTATGTGTGTGAAACAATTGTTTGCGGTCATGGTTGCCCTGACATCTTCTTCTAGATGGATGTACGCAAGTACGTTGGCGTACCTAGTTGACGCCAACCCTGGTCGCTCGGCCGCAGCAGTGGCCACGAATAGCTCGTTCCGAGGATCCCTGGCTTTCCTTTCAGTCTTGATTGCTGTACCGCTTCAAGTAAGCTTCCGTGCTATCTGCCATATCTCACAAATACTGACGCTAGCTCGCTCTCGCCGTAGAACGCTTGGGGAGATGGTATATTATTCACGGCATGGGCTTGCGTCTTGGCTGCTGCAGAGTTACTAGTTATAATAGTGGTGCACAAAGGAGAATCGTGGCGCAAGGGGGATGAGGAAAATGAGCGTAAAATGCTAAGTAAATGAATACTCGCGTTTTAATATTTCTAGACAGATATAGAGCATGCAGGGCAGGCCTATATCTAGTGCGATAGAATTAAGTATATATGTACTTAGTAACTTACATATGAAATGAAATATCTACTCTGCGTGGCACGTGATCAATAGTTTATGTCCGCGTCGCGGCGCAGTAGGGTGCGGTGAAAAATTCAATAATTTTTAACAGCGGTTAATTAACCGAGTTATTAACCGGGTTATTAACTGTAAATAATTCAAGGCTGGAGGGACACCGGTCAAGAACTGTAAATAATGTACCATGTCCTACCATGGCATCCTAGGCATGCCGTTATATCAAATTTGTCCTGATTTGCCTCATGTTGGGTGGATAAAGGCTCGTAGAATCTCATACTGACATATTTGTGTCATTCTAGCCATTGGGTTGCACCTGAATCATACTAATATGTCAGGAACATTTTTCGGAGTGTCAGACGACGGAGTGATTGGGATATAATAGATATGTCAATCAAAATTCTACTGATCTAACTTTTTGCTTGTATCGCAGACCTCCTTACAGATTTGACGGCTATGAGTGGTTCAGTTCTTGGCACCTCAGTTCCATCCGAAACAGTTCACGATGGCCTTATTCCGAGTTCTGCAGCAGCCGATTTTCGCCTTTTACTGGCAAAGCTCCCCTTGGAAGGCAATGTGCACCTGTTTTTGACCAGTTAATAACAGTTAATAGCTTGGACGAAAAAATCACGTGCCGACTGTCAATATGTGTTAAAAAATGTCGGTTAATAATTAACTGCCATCTCCTGGGTTAATAACCCAGTTAATAACTGGCTGGATAATTTTTCACCGCACCCTACGGCGCAGGTAACCTATCTATATCAACTGCCAGGTTTGCTATTTTCAAACTACTAGAGTGCGGAAAATTGAACGTTTTAGCCCTGCATAGCAGCTGCGAGCATCACCGTGTTTATGATGATTAGAGCACAAACTATCGTGGCTCGTACACCAAATGCGCTTCTTGCTTCTCTTGATCGTTTTCATTTGCAGTCCAAAGCGAAAGGTGGTACGTTCCTATTTGCTCTTTCCGCTCCCTCAGATGCTCTGTCCGTCATAACATCGCATCTAAAATCTCATTTTCCTCGTCATATCGGGTGTCTATCGTCCCCGCTACCGGCGTACCATTCACACATCATGTGTGCTGTCGCTCTGCTAAATGGGATTACATTCCGATCGACGATTGCTGGTCGCGCTGATCCTCAGGTTGGCCGATGGCATGCTGCGAGGCACTCAAGTACACAACAACTACCCGCAGCACAGTCGAGTGTTTTCGAAGAATTCGACGGAGATGTGAGTAAAGTTAACTGGGAGGATATATGGGACAGGACTGCCGTGTCTGCTCAGGAGATGATACCTGTGGAACTGAGAACGGCGAGGTGGGCTTGAGGTTTCCCTGTTTCCACGACATCTTGACTTTATGCATCCTCCAGACCTGAAGATGTGTCTTCTATACTGTATTTCTCGGACAAAGCCCCGGAAGGCATTGCGAAGGTACTGAAGGCAACTTTCCCCCATTCAAATGAGGTGGGTACATCATATCATCTGATAGAACAAGATATTTACATTATTCACTCGATCAGCTAGGTTTTTTAGCGTCGTCGACTCCTTTCATCACAGGTCGACCAGTGACACTTTTCCATGATGGCGAGATATACTCAGATGGAGCAATCGGGATTGCGCTTCAGCCTTCTCTAGGTCATACTTCACTAACAGCCGAATTTCCTGATCTGGTCGATCTGACTCCGGATTTGCAAATAACATGGTACTATTCCTTCCTCCTGCACCCCGTCGTATGCTTAGTAGTTTGAGCTCTGAGGGGAATCTTATACTCACGGTTGATAATGGAAACCCTACACGCCTCCTCCTTGCTGCAATGAACAAACATGGCCTTGATGGTCGTGACGTCCTGCTCAAGGACGACGAGTTTTATGTCGGCGTCATGAGTGACGGCAAGGTACGAAGTCTGTGCTTATAATTGATCACATGCACATCTTTATGAACGAAGGTAGAACGGTTGCACCGCATAACCTCGGGTGACCCTTCACGCGGCACTATTGCCCTTGGGACAATGAGTGCACCACCGCAGGGCTCCACCATAAGAGTGGGTCTTTGGACGTTTAAATGAATATACGTCTGACATTCCGACAGATGCTTTATTTGCCACGGAGGGATGAAGTGACCCTGAACTTAGAGCCAACGCACGGAAACACATCCATTTCATTCATCGCGACACCTGACTCCTTTAGTGATGGACCTCCATCTTCAGCCCTTGACAACGACGTCCTGGTTATTGATGGAAATTTCGTTGCTGGGTCTGAGAATGGGTTTATGTTGAGAAGAGGGGCCAAAGAGGAAGGCTGGATCTGTACATTGCCTGGTGGGCAGGCCTGCCTGCGTTGGACTTGAAGCAAGCTGCGGCCGATGTTTCTTCCAGTCCACCTATGGCCGAGCCTCCCTATTTACTTTCTGTTTATCAAACTGTTTTTGTTCTGTCCCGTCATTGTCTGGTACTTCCCCTTTGACGTTGCAAGTTAGCATTAAATTTAGGATTGGATTAGGAGATTAATTATGCGACCCATGAGAACGGTTATCACCGGATTCCGAACAAAAAGGAAAATGGCAAAATGGCAAATTCCGGATTCTACTGAGTTGGCCTTGCAAAGCAAGGTGATACTTGAATTCCCGTTTTGGCCGGGTATACCGTGTTGTTCGTACTTTCCTCAGCCCGACAAGCTCTTTCCAACGCACAGACCACTACCGTCAATGTCACACAGTATCAACGACGACGTCGTCACCACTAACGATGATCCCCCGTCGTTCAGTGGTCAAGAAAGCGATTCCGAGGGAGGTGCCGATGACTTCGAGGTATTTCCTGAAGATAAGGAGAACGCGGTGGAGTCGATCCAACAAGGGGATGCTGCAGGCGAGATTGAAATAACGCGGTCTTCTGTTTCTTCTAGTGTCTCTTCTTCTCAAGACGCTGAGCCTGACGCTAGCGAGACGCATGATGCAGCTCTTGGTCTTCCACCAGCCCGTCGCCCTTCAGATTCTGATAGTGGCGATTCGGAAAAGGGTTTGAAGCGAAAGCTTGCTGACCGTGGCACGAGTCAGGGGCCGGAGAACCTGGTGCCTTTACCCTCTGCTGAACCTGCCAAGCGTCCTAGAGATGACACCGACAAAGATGAAAATCCTCGCGAATCAAAGAGACCGTCACCTCCTCCCGAACAAAAACCTGCAGCGGCAGAGACATCCGCACCCAAATTCGTCCGTTTCTGTCTATTATTCAAGAAGCTTTGCTGATGAATTTCTTATCAGGGAGGGTTTATGGCCTATGCTGCCGCAGCATCTCCGTTTGCTGCTGTCAAAGGCCAGAATATATTTTCGGGAGCTAGTTCCAGCACGCCCAAAAAGCTGTCTGTTTCACCATCGCCGTCACCATCACCTTCCCCTCTACAGACGAACAATGACCCTACACCCTCCCCGTTTGCAGGCTTTGCCTCCTCACAGTGGTCGGTACAGCAGACGCCGGCGAGCACAGCGACGAAGCGTACGGGCTTCGAAGCTTTCATAAGCTCTGCTTCTCCCTTCGCAACAGCAGGTGTTTCTCCTTTCCCTTCGCGATCCAAGTCACCATTACGTGCCAGCGGAAAAAGCGCACTCGGAAGGAGCAGGTCGCCCCCGAGACGTACTCCTCTCAGTATGACCAGTGCATTCTCATCATATGCCAGTGGTGGCGTGCAAGCTTTGTTTGCTGCACCTCATCCCAAGCGTGCGAGGGCAGAGTCGCCCAACGGGGGGTCGTCACGCAGTTCTCTTGAACGGACAAGCAGCACCAGACTGAATGTATTGGATCCAGCATGGAATGGAAGTGCAGATGAGAGCGGAAGCGGAGAGGAAGACGATGAGGAGAATGAGAGACCACCTTCAACGTTTGGCGAGAGACTGCGTGCAGGTAGGGATGACGAAGAGGACGAGCCTGACGAGGAGAAAGAGAAAGAGAGGCTTCAAGAACAAGATGGTGCGATATTTCAATTTATTCAAGTGCAGATATCTAAATATGTGGCAGTCATAACTGGCGAAGAGGATGAAGAGACAATACACCACGTGCGCGCCAAGCTCTATGCTCTATGCCCCCAAAACCAGTGGAAGGAGCGGGGCACTGGCCTTCTCAAGCTCAATGTCCGACGTTCGGATGGTGGAGGTGCTCGTCTTTGTACGCAGGTTACGTTATCTCCGGAGCTCGTCTCACTAACATTGGGTATCAGTGATGCGCAAAGAAGCAGTCTACACAGTTATACTGAATGTTACACTGTTCTCTGGAATGAAATGCTTTATTGCACAGGATTCACGATATATCCGGTTGAGCGTCATCGAAGATGGGGTCACGATACATTACAACCTCAGAGTCAGTTATTTTCATTTGTATTGTTTTCACAACATCTGTAGTGACCTTCTCGCAGGTTTCAAACGCGAAGATTGCACAAGATTTGCTAGAGGAGATCAAGTCGAATATTCCAGCTTGACATCCAGAGTACCCTTATGTTACTTTACTGTCCATCGTGATCATGCCTTGCTACATTTAACATTAATGTTGTCTTTATGTACAACCACAGGACGCTCGCTGCTCCCTATATCACATGTCCACAGGTGGCAAGGAGCCTCAGAATCACTTATCCCATGGTCCCGAATATTGCGCCTCGGAACTCACGGGACGTACATCGTGTCCGACGGTAGTGACCCAAAGGCCTTGGAGAACTCATCCTCACCTCGGACGTGATGCATACCTTTCATTGTACGTTGACCGATGTTTGTGTAGCCCTAAACACGCATTCAGTGCTCAATGAAGTGCTCTACCATTTAGACCATATCAATGATGCAGCGAGGAACGATTTGAAGGTAGCGTTCGTGCCGCAAGCTTGTGTTACAAGTTGAATCAGACTTGCGAGTCTTTTCTATCTCCATGAGCCTCAGCGAAACTTGATCGATGCTTGACAAAATATTTTGGATGATTGTTGGCTCAACTGACGAAGCTGGCGCTCACGGTCAGCGGCAGTCAAGGTCCAGTGTGGGTGAGTATTCGCGGAGTTGAGCACCTAAAGGGGCAGCTGTAGACCACTGGAAGGGTTTGAGGAGCCCGCTGGCATGTCACAAGTCTAGTCCTGACCGCACCGTACCATTTATTCAGTGCAGATTCCAGAACCTTGATTGAACCACCGGTACCAGGTACATCCAGGCGAGACCCAGCCGGTCTTGCGACCCCCGCCACAGTAATGACATAAGTCAGCACTTCCTTGTTCACTTGTCTAAGCGGCTACTCACGCGTCGAACAGGAGTCACAATGCGATGGATAACTAATTATAATGCAAATTCCACCCATGACAACGAAGTGTCAACTGATTTTCGCATTTGAGTTATTCGTCGTGACGTTGATGTTGAAACATAAGGAGGCACTGTCCCTTGACAAGCGCTAGTGTCGAGATTCGGCTCATCACAAAGTGTCAAAACCAGCCAGTGCCTACGGAAACAAGGTAAGTATGCGAAAGTATACCAGGGATCCGTGAAGTGCAAGAGCGGTAGTATCGAACGACACTGGACGACTGAGCCCGCACAGATACCACACGATAAGATTGATGCGAGTGGTCCTGGGCCTGAAAAGGCAAAGAATTATTCGTCACGCCCTCCGGGCAACGTCCCTTCTTTTTTTCGTCTCCATTCAAAAACCCATCCTGGGAGGGCGCAACTCATTCGCCGCTTTCGATCTTCAAATGAATTTGTCTGTCTCGTAAGTACATTCATCGCCAGGAAGATGGCATATGCACGAGGGACGCCGCAGTCCACGTCACAGCCGCATCAAACAAAGAATCCATGTGTTCTTGACTATGTGATACGCCACTATGTTGATACCACGGATTATTCTTCAGCAAAAAAAATGACGAGCTGTTACAACCTTGCTTCTAGTGACTAATACGGGTCGAATCAATTTAAACGTATCCCTGGTATGTACTTACTTGGAACCGGCAAAAATGACGCACATGGTGTCATGCAATTCGACAGGATTAGGCGGAATAATGTTCGTAATTCGGGGAATGCTGGGCTCTCACCGCGATTTTTGTTTTGTTATATCACTGAGGAGCCTTTCAGCTCTGTCCAAACGATGGTTTATATGCATAATGATGAGCAATAGATCTGGGATGCACGAGCTCGAGACACCAACATCAGATCGTAAACTGAGCCTTCCGAAAAAGCTGCACGGATTAACGGTGGAAGCCTCTCGTGGCCATAATATTGAAAGTTGAACAGAGAATTGACCGGATATCATGGCGACTTGGATACCAAGGCTGACCGACGGGATCAACATGAATATAGATCTGTTTAGGTCTTGTAAACCCTTGGGATCCAGGCTCAGTCATACAAATTAAAAGCATAAGTGCATGGCAGAGTGTTCTCGTACTAAAATATTGCAAAGTAAATACAACGAACGGTACCAAAGTTTAGGACATCAACAACACCGATTCCTCAACTGGAACATTCCGAGCACATGCAGGCTCCGAGTTATCCGCTGTTGTCATTCAATCATGATACCATTCTGATCATTGCGACCAGCATTACCTTCACAACCTCGGCGTCGGCTTGGTTTGTGGCATTGTCCCTCACCGAAAGATGCTCGGACTGACTGGCCCGACTATGGCTCAAGCGCTATGAAGCAGCATAGCAATCACGAAAAGAGTTGATATTAGAAAACGGATAAGACATAATCTGATGGGCGAGATCTTGCTGTGGCTTCAGAAGCACGAACACAATTAGATTATTGATACACTCAACATCACATGCATGCACTCGTAACATGTCACGTAAGTAGTCCTTCTGATCGGATGTCTGAACGCGAATGGAATGTGCGCGGGCGATATGTAGTAGCATAATTGTCACGAGTCATGTAAGGAAAATTCTCCATGACGTGCTGTAAAGTAGCGGCAGTGACGGGCAAGGAACGTCTGCCGGATACTGATCATAAACCTTGAAAATCTCAAAAAAAAGCAAAGAACTGGCGTAAAGCACGACCGGCGAAACGGGAGGCACTAGCAAAGGCGAAGTCGATGAGAAAGCTGAAGGCGACGAAGCCGGCAGCCACGATAAGTTGAACGCGATGATGTAGAGCTGAGTGGTTTATGGCTTGATTAATGACGGCAGGCGAGGAGAACATACGAAACAAACATGTACAAAATATTCGGACTGACTCGGAGTCCTGTGTCTTCTCGGGCACAGTCCAGGTTGAGTTGTCTCCGTGCACCTGATAGCTGTGGGCCTAGGGAACTTGCCTGATGTGATCTGCATACGCCCATCTTGCAACTCGGCCCTCTTTCGTCGGATCGTGTTTGCTATTTCAAAATTTCCACTTATATCCTCCATTCCTAGTTCGGCTCTATCGGCGATTCGACTGCAGATTCGGTGGGCGCGTGGACTCCCTCAATGAGCTCCGCTCCCATCTTCATCTCCGTCCGCACATGTATGAGTCCAGGGACATTAAATGTCGGGCCCGCCCGCGCCCAGAGACTCGAAACGACAACAGTGGAAAATATAAGCGTGCACGTCGAGCACTGGAACCACTAAGTTGTCGCTATGATGGGCTAGGAGGAAATGCTTCCCCTCATGGGAGATTCGGTGGGTGCAGGCTCACGGACTTACTCAATGAACTCTGCACCCATCTTCATCTACGCTCACACATGTACAAATCCAGGGACATTAACTTTCGGGGCCACCTGTGCCCAGAATTTAATTGTACCCGTCGAAACGAAGAAAGACATAGCGGTGAAAAAATATACATGTGCACGTCGAGCGCTGGAACCGCTAAGCTGTCATTTGAATAGGAGGGAATGCTTCCTCTCTTAAACCTGAGGACATTCGACCGATGGGCAATTTTGCAGGCGCTACACTCTGGGAACCGGGACAATGTCGTGGATCTAGCTTGTGTCGGAGAGAGACACTAGCCGCTCTGAAAACGAGCGTGTTCAAGCCTGAGTAATTCTGGTCGACGTGATCCATAACTGACTTAGTTCTGTCTCCATAGGTGTTTCTATAAAGTGGTGTGAGGCGCGCGCGCGCTGCTCGATGGTTTGAGGAAGTGGAGTCACTGGTCGAAGAGATGAGGCAAGTATCAACTTTTCTGGAGTGGCAAGGTTACTGGTGGCATCAGCGCGATTCTGCGCCCATTGGAGAAGACTGCCAAGCGCAAGGGCTTGCGAGATTATGGATACCATCAAGCTGTCCTCCGTACTGCTATGCGGAACTCATTCTAAAGCCGTTGGAGTTCGTTCCTCAACTCAATGTCTGCCGCCATAGGCTCCATGCGATCCTTCCATGGATATTAATTCCCCTCCTTTGACCGGAACGCGTTTCAGCTTAATCTCGATGGACAGATCGATCTGCAAACGGCTCAACCTCAGGGCCATAGTAAGAATGGTGAAAGAATACTTGGACACGAACAGGAAATATAATAAAGCTAGGAAACCTGTAATCTGTGGTCAAGTGATGTATCACGCCATTCGTAGCCCGTATCGCGAATGTCTTGTAAACCCAGGCTGGCTGATGTTGAGTTCAAAAGGCGATTGCAAACGAGATGGGACTCCGAGGAGTAAAACAAGCGCGTTCTGACGGCGCTGAAACGACAAAAACAAGAAAGCTTTCTATGACTCCAAATTTAGACGGTCAATTTTATGATGAGCTGATTCGTATGATATTATCCTAGTTATATTGGCGTGCATGGCTGCATATATACGTGTTTGAGTGGGTCAAAATAAGCATAAGGAAAGAGAAAGTCGAGTTCTAACATGAATGCACATGTGAAAGGCGACACATGTATGGACATTGGACATGGCACAAGTAAATGCCGTATAAGGAAACTTGACATTCTATCCGCGTGTTTCGCATACAGGAGTGTAGTGAAGTTCTTCGGCGGACTACGCATATGTCGGTGCGTAAGGTTATAGAGTCCTAACACAGGTATCCGAACACAAGGCCTTGAAGCCCTCTTATGGGCTTTTTATTTCAGGGGAACTAACATCGACACGCCTTACCACAATGTATATACCCTTGTTCCTCTAACAACGTACAGCAGCTAGTACATATCAGTTTCCAGTGTGCTAAAAATATGTAATAGTTTATGGGGTATGCCATAAACTTTCTCCTATATTCGAGTGCAGCGCAGCCTTGATCAGCCAACTTACTTTATATGTTAGTTTGAATGGTCTGGTGGCATAGCACCACCCTGATGGTTCTATGTACGCCGAACCCGAGGGCCCGCCGATAGCTGTATCAAACTTCCTTCGTGCCACCACGCTTTAAACACTCGCCAATGGAGTTAATGCTAAAGCGCTAAGCTTTCAAGTTCTGTCTTCAAATTCTGGTCTGTCTATATGAAAATACTAGAAAGGAGGCTGGCAGGCTAAACAAAATCTAAGCGCTCAGCTCGGTCTACATCTATGGATCGTTCCATCGAGATTACTAGTACAGCCGCTTCAAGTTCCTGAAGTTCGTTCATGCCAGGACTGAAGTACTGAATTGAGTTTAAATTGCTTTATACAAGTCTAATTGGTCGATACGTTTGACCTTTTCACGAGCGGATTTATCCTTTTGTCCATTGTGACACACGCCCCGGGTGCTCTAGCCATGTAAGTCATGTTTGATCCCACAAAATCAATCACAGAAATTGATATATATTATATAGCTGTAACAGTCAGCGAAGGAATGTTTTCGATGACCCTACTACGAGAAACTCAGTGGTGTGAGTGAGTGATCCTTTATTCTGGAAATTCAAGAACACCATCGTATGAACAAGGTCCAGAGAGGCTAGTGTGACTGGCATGCCAATCACGCCAATCATGTCATCTATTATCTAACTGCCTTTCTGATTGTTGCAAAATCACAAGGCAACGGTGAAATGGTAACTTCACAACCTGCAACCCTGAATTTGATGACTCCCCGCTAACCTCGGGACAAAAACGCATAGGCTCAGAGCGCGGCAGGAACTTTGGATTGGTGTCATAGGTAACTATCCCTCGAGTTATCCACTTCCCAGGATGTGCAACCTTTTAGGGTCGACCTCGTGGTAAGTCTTGAGTTGTAGTATTGTCTCTTCCCAGTGATTTAACAGGATCCCTACAGCAACTCTACAGCATTTGAGATATACAGATTGTAACTTGTCAAGGCACCCCCTTTTCGCCGCCCACAAAGATCTCCACCCGATTTTAAGTTAGGTGGCGGTGAGGCAGCATGACGCGATATGTGATCCATTTTGTAGCCGCTGAAATGGCTTTTTTGTCCCCAAGCACGGTCAACGTGCCTCTGTGCCAGATTGGATCTGTGGCCCGTGACAGAAACCAATCCCCCCTTGATGTCATCTCTGGGTCTGCCATGATAATCTGCATACCGATAGTAGGGCGCAGCACCCTGCCATAGTTTGCGGATAAGAGAGTTGGTCATATTCTATCCCGGATCATATACGGCTTAGAGGGAATGATTTTGGACCGCAACAGTATCATTTCAAAGTATAAAGAACCGTGTGTCCGAAAAAAAACTAACGAAATTAACCGCTCTCACCTCCAATAATGGAAGCTCGTAGTACTCCATTGGCAGCAGAGTTTCCAATGCCTGGATGCAGACAAGCATGCCTTATCGACTCCTCTGGGCCATTCCCTGAGTTCACGGACTCCGATATCATGGGCCCAGGCTCGTTGAACCACTCCGGCATGAGTTATCATGATTCCACATCTCCACCAAGGTATGCTTCAAGTTGCTTTCTTCTTCAAGACCAATACTTATTTTCATCCCTACCATGTGGCCTCAGCTATTGTGATAACCATCACCCTCTAAATTCGTTGGAGGAAAATCCATGTCCTGACTCTGATTGGTAGTCCATATTTTATCCCTTTCGGAAGCATTCTGCTAATGAAATCATAGTCTGTCGAATGACCATTCGCATCATTACAGCGGTACCATGCGTGCTTCGTTACCAGATGAAACGGCTCTCTTTGTTGCAAACTATCTCCACCAGTTGGGCCTGAAATTTGGGATGGACATGACTCTTGACCGAGTAATTCAAATATGCATTGGACAATGGGACACTCCAGGTCACTGGTACTATCATCACCTCTTCTATCGCTTACACTGTATTTTATCCCAGACCCCAAGCCTACGCACGCCCAGATGGGAAGGGATCATTTTGTTTCGAACTACAGTTCACCTTCGACGAGTATCCAATCTAGCAGATCGACTCGCCAGTCTACACCCAGCGATAGGGTTTATTTCAGGTCCGGTGCCATCGCACAGACCGACCACGAGATATTCCAAGACGGTGGCAGATTAAAGGTCAGGTGTTACGAAGGCTCTTGCAGCGGCAATGCATTAATGAAGGACAATTTTGTCCGGCACGTGCGTGAACATCATCTTGGTAGAAAGAGAAAGACAGGAGGTAGCTCTATACAGCGTGTTAATCTTGGAATGAAATGATGGGCGTCCTGCAGCACCATGGCTGCAGGGGTGATTGGCTGGTGTGGAACTAATGCGCGGACCATGCCAGGCTCTTGGGCATGCTGCATTTATTTTGTATCTCTCATATATATTATCTCTCCTGTAGATATAATAGCCCTGTAATTAATGCTGTACTTCGCACAAGACGCACAGCTTCGCAGAAAGCTGAGCAGGACCGGGTATGGTAGGCAGTTCCTGTACCCTGAAAGAGGGGGTAAATTAATGTCCGTCAACACGATCATGAAGGATCATGGTGGCTCCACTTGATTACCGGTCCCGACGACCTCGTTTGGCTTTTGTGCTATAGAGGTTTTTCAACCATTAATCATTAGTCAATGATTAGACGCTGCCCGCAGTTGAGACCCGTGGTTCTCCGGCCTGAATTTACAAAGTGCAGGATAGGTTGGGTGATTAGGCAGACAATTTGTCACGCAACATGTAATAATCTATAGTGTGACGAACCTCAAATCCTACAATTCCACATTACAGCCGTAATGAACTATATCACCGCACGATCCATCATGTACTGTAACTGTGGTGGACAGCTGGGAGCATGAGCTTCATCAATCCGTGGCTGTATCTCGAAGCCAAGCTAATCTTCGTACAGTGGATGTGCTGATGAATTATGCAAGGAGTGTTCAAAAACCATTCTGTTTGGGTTACCATGACTGTAAAGAACATCATGAGGACGATGATAAGAAGAGTGGCTATTGTCCTCACAAATTGAGAAGCACAGTGGACAACGAGATGTTGTATCGGGACTTCGAACAAACGCAAACTTTGGGAAATATGACATGTTCGTCATGGCGTTGTGCCTCGGAGGACAAGAGTGTGCGGAAGGCAACAAGACATCTCTAGACTCTTATATGCTAGGATGAACTTAATGAAACTTACAAAACCTGTAAGGGTACACAGTTCGCCGGGAAGCCCATAAGAGACAGCGCGAAAGATGACAGAAAGGTGCGGGCGTGGATGAGGATGAGGATTATGGCGAGAGAAGGAGTCAGGGAGTGACTTTCCCCCGGCTTTTAGCTTAGTATATGGCTGCTGTTTCGTCGTTAGAAGCGCTGGTGCCCGAGTTCCTGCCCACGTCGACTCCACTGCTGACCTAATAGCAATGCAGGCGAGGACGGGATAGGAACGAAGATAATACTCGAACATGGCTGATGATCGATGATCCATGCCGTGAGCCATCGATTAATATTATGAATCGGATTAAATAAAGGGACGAGGCTGCATACAGCCTGAGGTATATATGCCCGGAGGACAACCGGAGGACCACAGCGAATCCAAAAAAAGAGTACTGTGGCGGCAATGACCGAATCGCACACGAGTTGGCGTGCGTTTGAGCTTACTCATCACTGCCGTTTACCACCACTTCGTCGTCGTCGTCTTTACCGTCGACGAGACACTGCCAACAACGTCGAGTTCTGTACAAAACAAACTTCTACTGTAACTTAGTCTTATCCTTTGTTTCATTCTTATTCTCATAACAGTAACAACGCTGCCATCCAACTTGGCTTTCTCGCACTTCTTCTGAGGCTAGCTGTATACCGCCAATTTCCTACTCCCGCTCCTTTGTATTCTTGCTGAAGTCGAACCAGTACAATGGGTCAAACTCCCTCCAGGGTGCAGATTCGTCGCAATGGCATTTCACAAGCGAGATCTAATCCACCATCCTCTGAATCGCAGTCATCGTCCGAACCTTTAACTTCCGTTCCCACCCCTTCATCGTCATCTTCTGTGTCAGGGCCTCAAATTGCAGACATCGCAGAAACCAAACGTAGTTGTCGTGCATCCCTGCCGCACCGCCTTCTTTCATCGCTCTCAACTCCACGCATCCGGACAGACAGTTCGGCTACTCAGTCCTCGCAGCGCAAAAAGTGGCGGCTTTCACGACGCGTCTCTAAATCTCCTACAGTCAATAACATCGCTGTTGGTGAGGTTACAGAACCTCAAGACGAACAGAACGGATCCCAAGACCCTCTTGCGGATGTAGAAAGCGATAAGGGCAAGTCGAGAGATGACGAAGCTGTGAATGACTTCCCGTCAGCTGCAGAAGCATCAACATCCCTCAGTCCACCATTAGAAGAGGTGGTCCCAACTACTTCAGGTGGACGATTGGTTGAACCGGCATCTGATATCTCATTCCAACCCATTCCCTCAATTTCTCGTCATTGCTCGGAGGACGACGAGGATGAAGTCGTCATTGCTCCAAATACAGAGTTGATTGATCCATCTCCTCAAGTACATATCCCAACCGTCAATCAGAGCGAAGGCCCACCGTTCATGCCTCCGATTACTCCTGCTGGACCTCAGTCCCACGTAGGCACAACTACACAGCCCCCAGGTCGCCAATTTCCACCTGCGGGGACGCTCGTTGTTGTGCAAGGTGTCGTACATACCACTGACGTGTCCCGCGCTTCGGAGTTCAATACCGCCAACACCATCAACTCAAACAATACGAGTCTCGCGAATGATGCCAATCTGGAGCCACCGGGAATTGTCAGGCCATCCTCCGTTGCACGCCAACGATCGTCCTCTACCCCCGGTGATCGCTTGCGCAATCGGTTGTCTGGAATCCTACCCCGCCCTTCCAGCATGCTGCCATCTGTACCGCTCGTGTCAGAAGGTGGTGGTGGTGCTGATTCTCCACAACAGTTACCTGTTGACTCGCAGTCAAGTACGGCCTCTCTCCCTGCGGGAACGGGCCCTAATGCAGAAACTGGTCCACCAACCTCTGAAACATCTAGTGTCAACACCGGCTCACTTTCGCCCAGTAGCATTGATGTATTGGGAACGTTGCTTAGGTGTGCATTATATTCACTCCACAACTTGCCTACATTATACTCCACCCCATCGTACTATTTGACTAATTCGTATGCATTGCGTACAACGATGCTGACTTCTTTTTAATCGCAGTGTCGCAGCAGCTGCAACAGCTGCTTCTCTCCTCACAGGGACTTCCGAGCCTATTTTTTCTTCTGGACTTGCGCCCTTATCTCAGTCACCAAATCAGCCTCCTCAAAGCGTGTCAGATCGGCCTCTATCGCCTACACCAACAGGTGACGCTGGGCGGATGCGTCATGTCTGGAGCAGCTTACGTGATCGTCTTGGTCTACGCACACCTGGAATGGGAACGCCTGGTGTTGATGAGGGCACCGGTAGACCCAGTCCTCGCGATGCACGCGAGCTTCTGCTTACGGAGATGGCTCGGGCCTTCAATTTGGGTCTTGGTCTAGGAAGACCGCCTGTTGTCCCTGACGTGACCAATGTCAACGGACCTGCGGCGCCCATAGCAGAGCCACCCTCCGCTAATGGAGGTGGGACCAGTGACGTTCCCGTAATGCCCCCACCTGGCAGCTTTGAGCGTTTCCTTATCGATCTTCAATCAGATCTAAGGGTTGCGCTTGCGCAAGACAGTACCCCTGTTGACGCCGACCGCGAGGGCAATGATGGAGGTGTGGGCGATGAAGATAGCCATGAAGGTGCACGCCATGAGACTGAAGACGTGCCGGATAGCACGAGTGACAACGAGTCTTACGACACCGCCGCATCCGACATCGATGACAACATGCCTGAACTTCAAAGCGTTTCTGATGAGGCGTCTACTATATCGGATGCCCACACTGCCCGGGAGAGCCCAGGCACGAACGATGACAGTCTAGGACCTAGCGATGATCCGGATTTGGAAAGTGATAACGCCCAGGTCCACGATGCCACAGCAACCTTGCCTCGCACTGCCCACGCTGACACCCTTTCTAGAGAGGCGGGTATAGACACAGGGTCTCAGAATGCTGCATCTGGTTTGTCGGGGTCCCCAACAGAACCTTTCTTATCACCTCTTTCATCTGGTCCCCCAGGTGTGAGTCCTTTCACTGAGTCCTCCACTACTACACAAGAGTCTGTCGAAACAGAGATGCCATTCAGAATTCCACGTATCTCACCTGGTTCTACATCGCGCACTGAGCATACGCCTATCAACTGGTGGCGATTGTACCGTTTCCCTGCTATCACCGCGCCAGCAAGTCGCAGTGCACAAGCCCCCACGATTGTACAGCAAGGATCTGCCCCACAACCACTACCACACGCGGATGGCGATGGGGTACAAAATGCGGGTAGTCCACCAGCTGCTCCGTCTTCTCCTTCCTTTATTCCTTCAGAGATGCTGGATACTACGCACGCAACACCAGACGCCGACCTGACCGCTGGAGTACAGCCGGGTAATGGTAATGAACAACGTAATGTCGTCATTCCTGTCATCGTCGTGGGGTTGCAATCAGTGCACGCAGAACGCCAATCACCTATGCCTCCACATCCTCCTCATCACCTTCATCCTCATGTCCATCATCAGCCACCCGATTTCGCAGACGAGCGCTCTACCGAAGGAGATATGATGGATTTAGAATTTGGCAGTGAAACCGGGATGTCTCCACCAACCCCAATCCCTACTGCTCTATCAGAATTTCCACCCGAGAGTACACGACCATCTCGCGGTCGCTCTTGGCAATCTCGTGCAGCTGATGCCATCAGGAATTTACGTCCTGGTCGCAGGGCCGCTGTGGCAAGACAGACAGCGTCAGAGCCTCCAGGGTCCAGGACGTTCCTCATTTATGTCATTGGTGGTGAGTTCACCCTTTTTCCCTGTTTTCAAATGTGGACAGTTATTTTCAGGCTACTACCCACCCGATCACCAAATCATCACAGGCGGGAACTTGGATTCATTCGAGGCATTGTGGTACGCACGCGCTAGGGGTGTGATATCGTGCTTTGCTCACTTTCATGCAGGGAACTAGCCGAGTTGCTCGGTCAAGTGAAACCACCCACTGCCTCGAAGGAGGAGATTGACAAGTCTGGACTTGAAGTGATCAAGGCAAATTCACTTGAGGAGTATGCGAAGGACGGACGTGTCGCTACTAACTGTGTCGACCGGGTATGGAATCACGCCTTTATCATTTTCTTCAAACTTGCTTACCTTGCATGCAGTGTCTCATATGTCTTGATGATTATGTGCCGGACGATGACCTACGTGTCTTAAGCTGTAAACATGCATTCCACCAAGGCTGTGTGGATAAGTGGCTCCAGACAGGAAGGAACAATTGTCCTGCCTGCCGTACGAAGGTATGTCCATTTAGCAGCCAGCAATCAGGTTTTCATAAGCTATTTCAGGGCGTCGACAATGATACCAGCCCGTCCACTGAACCGTCCGCTTCGAGTTCAACCTTAGCACCCCAGCCATCGGCTGCATGAGGGTGTGTATCCTTGATTAAGCAATATTTTTTCCCTTGCATCATCTTTCCTTGTAACAAACCTTCGCATCCGATCTGTCTTGCGATTCGTGTAGCAATTTCATCTCTTTATCGCTGTTCTTTCTTCAGGTTATTATAATGCTACTGAGTATCATCGTCCAACACAACTTATCCAAATAGCTCGCCGCCACTTGTACTGTATGGCACATAGAAATGATCATTTATCACTGAAAAGACCACAGTACCTGTGGGCTATCCTCATACAGCCAGGCAAGTGTGAGGAACACTAGGGCGACTGCTATGCACGCTTTCCAGTAATGCCAGCCTCTTTGAGTTTGGCGAGAAGCTCGTCCACATTTGCCACCTGTTTGTCATTGTAAGTACTGGAATATACTATGAAGAATGGAGGATTACCTTGCCGCCACCAACACGCTTTGGAGGTTCTGTGACTTTGATGGTCTCTAGTCTAGGCGTGATGTCAACTCCAAGTTCCGCAGCCGTCAACTTCTCCACAGGTTTCTTCTTGGCCTTCATGATATTGGGCAATGAGGCATACCGGGGTTCTTGGAATATGCGGTGATTAATTGAGAGCGATGAAATATTGACATTGTGAATAAAACGCACCATTAAGCCTGGATTTGAGAGCGTTCGTCAGTGAATAAGACATTCGTGGATACACACAGTTGAACTTGCCGAAGATCTGTCGTTATAATGACAGGAAGCTTGCACCTAAGCTCCTCGAGACCTCCATCTATTTCACGAGTGATGTTCGCAACCTTCTGCTCTGGGTTCACCTCGACCTTGCTCGCAAATGTTGCCTGTGACCACCCCATGAGGCCAGCGAGCATTTGTCCAGTTTGTCCAGCGTCATCGTCAATAGCTTGTTTGCCTAAAATTACTACGTCCACACCCTCCTTCTGTCGTTCGATGAGAGCCTTCAAGGTCTTCGCGACACCAAGAGGTTCTGGGGACGGAGCGGATTCCGGGATTTCGACATGGACGGCAGAATCAGCACCCATGGCGAGTGCGGTGCGGAGCGTCTCTGCAGACTTGGGTGGACCGATGGTGACAACCTTGATAGATTTCACTGCATCCTTTAGGCGTTCCCGTATCCGAACGGCTTCCTCTACGGCTATACCACACAGCCAGGTAAGTATGCGCACGGAATACTGACGGAAAACGTACCAATCTCATCAAATGGATTCTGTGATGACCCGTGTGAGCAGACTTGCTTACGAATTGTGAATTTGCCATACCATGGAATGTTTAACATTGAGGTCGATGCCTGTCTGCTCGGGATTCACACGAATCTTCACGGCATAGTCTACCGCCCTTCCAAGCGCATATTGAGAGCTGGAAGCATGCAGTTATAATTCGTGCTTACCTCTTTATAGGGACTAGTATGTTGAGCAACCGCACAGCAGAAGGCCTCATCCTCAATCTCTTGTTAAAAAGTCAAAAGAAATCAAGTTGATGATCTATCGGAGTTCGGATTCGGAAATGAAGACGACCGTATTTAGCCCTGTGTTTACGTCCAAGCAAGCAGACTACAAGTTCAACTTGTAATATACGTATGCTACTGCATCTTGGATTCTTGGTCGGTCCGTCTGCGATTAATTCCTATAGCCTTTAAGCACCATTGCGAGTGTCCCGGCCAATATTCTTTCGGGCTTACACTCTAAGCTGTGATAACAGCTGACTCACACTTCCGACTAGCGCCGATGCCGTTTCAAGTTTCTCCCTCTCATTTATAGACGAAGGAATGTGGGTTGATAAATCCCCTGCTCGGAACATATTACGAAGGTCAGAATATGTCATCTTATTCGTGAGACTACTGCACACTTAGTAAGTTGATAACAGAATGTACGTTCTACACGGACGGTGGACTCATGACTTGGACAGTACTCTCTTCCTATTATTAGGTCGACTTCACCTCTCAGTGGCCGGGCACCCGATATTCCGTGGCAAGCAGAAACTCTGGATGGTTGCGATTCGGAATGTAACCCTTAAACTGGTCGTTCGGGGGCCTTCCTCATAGTGGCTATTTGATAGCCGGAACGAAGACAAAGTTCTATGGCATGCCACTCGATCGGCCATGTTGTCCGACCCACTAGCATTATAGTTGAGGATATTTTGATCATCGGCACCAACAAAATCATGTGCGCTTTTGTGGCGCGCTTCATTGCTGAACCACCTATATAACCATGCACTCACATACAATCTCAAACTTCAGCTCCTGCGTCGGACAACCTTTTACACTATGATAGAAAGCCAGAGTACGACTCTGTCGTCTACAGAAGTCCAGAGTGTGGAATTCCGGGAAATAGACATCCAAACGCATGTTTCCAGTTCAACGTTGGCAAATGAACCTATCAAGCTTGATATAGAACATGCAGTAGTTGAGGATGATCCTCGAATATGGTCGAACGCGAAGAAGGCGCGTCCTTCCCTCTTGATTTTGTAACTAGAGGCTGATAGAACACATCGTACAGAACGTTGTATTGGTCATCATATCTGGGGCATCAATGATCGCAGGTTTGTGTGCGAATATACAAAACCGTGAGTTGTTTCCTTAATACCATTGCAATATCGGCTGAACAGTCAGGGGATAGCTGCCAATGCCCAAATTGAGCAGCAGCTACACACCAACGGCGAGAACATCAGCTTGAGTTTGTCTCTTTTCATTCTCATCCAAGGCAATTTTCCTGTCATGTGGAGCGCAATCAGCGAGATCAAGGGCCGCAAGGTTTGAATTTCTATGTGTTTTGAGTGTTATTTGTTAATATCACCGAGCTCAGATAGTGTACCTTTTCTCCATAGCACTGTTTACACTTGGGTCGGTAATCGTGGCCATATCCAGAACGATTGGTGTGTTGATCGGCATGCGTATTCTGCAAGGTGCAGGGTAGGGTAGTCCTTCAAACCCCTTAATTCCTTGCTGACATGAAGTAGGTCAAGCGCGGTTATCGCTATCGGAGCTGCTACTCTGGCCGACATATACGAGCCGCATCAACGAGGAAAAATGATGGGTGTCTACTATTCTGCACCTCTCCTCGGTCCCTCGTTGGGGCCAATTATCGGTGGTGCACTCACACAGGGCCTCGGCTGGCGGGCGGTTTTCTGGTTCCTAGTCATCTGGGGAGGCATAATATTCTCGGCGTTCCTTTTCTTGCTCAAGGACACTTTCCGGAAGGAAAGGAGTGTGACGTACCAGAATGTATTGAAGAGGAGGCTCCGAGAGCAACAGTCGTCAGAAGCAAAGGACGACTCGGGAAACATTTCAGAGAAGGAATTACGAGTGAATGACGAAAACCAGACGAATCCGAAGGACATCGAAGCACAGCCAGCGGTCATACCAGCATTAGCCATCAGAGAAGTAAACGAAGCACAGCCAGCGGTCATACCAGCATTAGCCATCAGAGAAGTAAAGCTGTCTATTGCTGATGTCAACCCTTTTCCTCCATACCTATCGATTCTCAGCCGCAAGAACAACTTTGTTATCCTGATACCATCAGGTGAGTGCCCTCAGTAACAAAGTTATTTCAAAGAAATCTCATGCCCAATTGTGCTAGGTTTAATTTTTGCATTTAGCTTTAGCATTGCATATACATGCGCAAGAACATTGTCGATGTATTATAATTATGATGCTCTGAAGACCGGCCTCGTCTTACTTGCATATGGTATTGGTAAGCGAATCACAAGTAAACCAACGAGCTGCCTGACACATCTATCCCAGGCTCTGTAACCGGCAGCATATTAGGTGGACGTTGGTCCGATCGGACACTTGCTCGGCTAAAGGCAGCGAACGGAGGGATCAGTTTTCCAGAGGTGACCACTATCTTTAGCTCAACCTCTATCTCCATGTTTGACACAAATTCGTGCAGATGCGCCTTGAGAGTACAAAAGTCGCCATGGTGTGGTTACCTCTTTCTGTGATTGGATATGGCTGGGTGTGCCAAGAACGGGTCAACGTTGCTGCGATATGTGTGATGCTTTTCCTCGCAGGATTTTTATCCATGTATGTTCCTTCGTTTCACACTGTCCGTTGCTCTCATCCGCGATAGATGGATCTACACGAGCACGCTGGCATACATTGTCGATGCAAACACTGGTCGCTCATCAACGGCAGTAGCGACCAACAGTTCTTTCCGCGGTCTGTCTGCTTTTGTTGCTGCTGAGATTGCTGTTCCTCTACAAGTGAGTCAACGTCATGATAGCTTGTGGAATATCGGGTCTGAAGTTGATTTAGGATAGTATTGGCGACGGTGGTCTGTATACGCTCTGGGCGGGGCTGTTAGTCATTGCTAATTGTATTATTCTACTGGTGTTGTACAAAGGCAGGAAGTGGAGAGAAGCCAGTGTTGAGCGGGAGAAGCAGAAGCTGGATGGCAAGTAGACGATCATCACGACTTTCGAAGTTCCGATAGACCATAGATGATACTAGATTACTAGAATTAACCGTATAGAACTGAGGCTCGTTCGCCGTCGATTGGTGTATATACAACAATGGTTCCTGACTAGCCAGCCTGGATGTCGCGGAGTTGAGTGTCATCAAATCCATTAATACAGCAACTGCTAGCGACGGATCCGAGTCCGTGTTCATTATGACGAGCCACTACTTTTACGGCCGTCTACACAGTATTAATTGAAATTGAACATGCGCGATGATCCTCGAGTCGGGCTTGGATAATGTCAAACTTTCTAGAAGCCACCAGGGCTACTAGTTCCCAAAGCTCATCGATGAAGGTGAATCATGATCAATTGATCGACATCGATCCTAACTTCTACAAAAGATTAACCTGGTCATCAATATAATGCCCATAGGGTGGGCCCCAGGAAGCATCCGGCATACTTCTGCATTGGTCGGTATACATATTTATATTTAGAAGCAAAGACGAATCACGGATGCGACTTGCTAGCTATAGCACTAGATTGCATATGGCTGAAATGACAAAACGCCGATCATGCAAGCAGTCGCGATGTATCTAAGTCATACATATATTTAACAAGAAATGGGTCTAGGAACCAATAAACCAATAAATACTATAAAGAAGCAAGCGAAACCTTTAACATGCCCTATGATCTGCGTCTTTCACCAAAGTACGTATAAGATGAGTAGAATAGAACTAGTACATGAGGTTTCCAACTGCAGACGGAGTCCCGTCGTTGTTGTAGAGGCACGACCCGGTTCCGACAATCGTGGCAGCAGAACCGCCGTCCGCTTGCAAGAGCGCTGGCGAAGTTGCGACGAAGGGGAAGTAAAGCTGGACGTATGATGCGCCGTCAAGGAAAGGGAACGCCTGTTGGAAGAAGGACACCCTACACGATACACAAGAGTATGAATGGATGATAAAAGAGGTACTGCATCGCAGCTTACTGAGCAGCTTGACCACCTGCAGGGTTCTGAAGAGCAAACTCTGTGATGACGAGTTGATAATTCTGGGTGTTTGTTGTTAAGATATATACCGCATGCGTGAAGGAGACTAACGGGGAATTGACTATGAGCTGATTCTACGTAGCTCTGGAATTCTGCAAATGTTGTTCTGCATTTCGAAATTCAAGTGAGGTGAGGTAATGCACCAAACAAACTCTTGCTACATACCCATACCAGTGCTGGGAAAATAGAAAATTAACGCCAAACAGAATGGGATCGCAGACAATTACGCACCAAGTTAATGTAGTCAAAGTAGCACTGTCCTGCACAAGCGCTGATCATTTGAGAGACCCAACTAAGACCCTCTCCAGACGTTACGCTGGAGGTAACAGCAGGGAGAGCCTTCTTGATCGCCTGAAAGCACGGACAAATATTTCATAGGTCTGAAGAAAAATTGATACGGCAAGGCCTTACCAATGGGTTGATGTATTGGATGTACCAAGAAGCGGCCTGGCTTGGGGTGATGCCATTGATATCGGGTTCGTTCAGTGTAAAGACGGCTGTGAAGAAATGGGTAAAGCTAATGTCTATCCAGTAATGAGTAGTGACGAACTAGCCCAGCCTTGTGATGCTTGACGTGACGCCAGGTCTGCGATAGGACTGGATGAGCAGTCGGTGCAGCGCTGCATGCCGATGAATCCGAGGCCACCGTTTCCATTGGTAGAAACTGGAGCGTATGTTTCATAATCGTAGCTGTGTACTGTTAGTGAACTGCGGACATGAGAATTCATTGAATATACATTGCGACAACTTCTCCATCTCCGTTGTTGAATACACCGGGATCGCTGGGGAGAGACAAGTCAGTGAACCAGATAAAACATGAAATGTGAGCCTATGTACAGTGATTCATCGTCTGTTCGGTTATGGTGAGCAAAATACACTTGTACTCGTGATTTGAGATGAAACTCACAGAAAGTCCAGCATAGGCCCCGCTTTCCAGCAAGAACGGTGGTTGCGAAGAGAGCTACAACTGCAAGTCTGGCGGAGGTTAACATGGTCGAGAATGTGTCAGGAAATGAGAACTTGGATTGTAAGCGGCGCATACCAAGCATATTTATACTTTCAAAAGTGGCGCCCAGCATCCTCAGACTGAGGCGGTCAGGTACGATTGCCATTACCGCATATGCTTTGACAACGAGCGCATTGATGTATCAGCGCTACGACGGGATAAGTATCTGAATTGGGCATAAGTGGCATGTGATCTGCTTGAAAAATGATACTAATGAGCACAGTAGTCCTATTGTATACTTTACATACAAACTGTAATGGACTGAGACAAGGATAGCACAGCCGATGGCTACCTAGCTGTATCTTGATATTGAGACGAGGTCCGAAAATGTCAGCGTGGCGGTAACAGCGGAATCATGTGGGGGCGGCCTCTGAAGACGAGTTATGGAGACCTCATCTCAGCAGGCCAGTACGATATTAATAGCAGGGTGCTTGCATCACCTATTGAGTGACTCTTGCCTACAAAAAACTGGATATACCTTACCTCGTTACCACCGGGGTCCTGAATTGACATGTTAAGTACAGCATAGAGGATGGACAAATGATGGCTTGATTCCTATGGTAGTGGACGCCATCATCAGCTGTGTAAGATATGATGGATTATGGATAGAAAATGCTACGTTGCTGCGAAATGGAGCCAGGAGCTACCTCGTCACGAACCCTACTAAGTTTTTGATGGCGCACTGGTTTGAACGAAAAATTCTGGTGAGCACGGGCGGAGCGGAACATTTGGTAGTTATCTGAACGTCGCAGAATCAGTTCTTCGGTACAGGCTGAGTCAGGGTTACTCACAGCACCTCAAGATTAAGATCTAGGTTAGATTTATGTCACACGACGTGACGATGTAGTGGACCAGAGCAAGTTAAAAAAGTGGGGGTCTGACTGGGAAAGTCGCGCAGGGCGCGCTGATGTTTCGTGGTAGGCTGGTAGCTGCCACTGACAGCATCGGAATTACCGACCTAGCCCATGAGGCCTTGATGTCCGAGGACCGAAGTTGCCGTCCTGTAGCGGACAAAAAGCAAAATGCGAGAAGACAAGAATCACGAGAAAGATCGATGAAGCGGAGGTTCAGCGACTTGAAACTTGGATTGAAACGCCTACTTAGATTCAGACTCCTTCAAGTCGGATGGCGTAGGTAAATTCGTGCTCAGTAACAATTGATATTGAACGTTGAACAGTCATGACAAGGTACACAACCACTGCGTCTACGAATCACTACGAAATGAGCGCGGAGATCGAAAGCTCGGCTGGGCTCCATGTTGCACGTCCACTGGGGCACCGACTTGAAGGCAAGTACCATTCCTTTTGGTTCAAACGTTCAAATTTTGTATCTACTGTCCAGGTCATGATAGCCGCGCATCTCCAGCTCAACTCTGTTCTAGGACGTTGACTTTGCAGGCGCATTGACACCGACAAGCTACTTTCCGAGAATCAAGCCAGAATTTATGCAGTGCGCCAACCAGGATGCCAGACTGAGTTCCTTCGGCATGGCAGCCTCTCGATGACGTCGACCACATACGATATCCTTTTTCCTGACTCGTGATTGGTCCCCCGCTGCGTCGTCGAAACATGATAAATAGCGGTCGTCAGCCAGGACGAACGCCAGTGTTCTCTCTTCCCTCTTTCTTTCACATCGCTATCAGAAATTACAATACGTTCTTTATTTTCATACTATATAGCATCATGGTTCAACTAGCTCCTCGCTTCGCCACCCTCCTCGCCTTTTGTTTCCTCGTGTCCGCTACTCCCGTCCTTCCTGCCGCTAGTCCCTACGTGTCTCTTAGCGCAGGCTTGGTCGACCCTACTCCGGGCCCGAATAGTACTCATGCCAATCACACTGCTAGGGCTGTTGCTGTCCTTGTCGCCACCAATACCGCAATCCTCGTCGGGCCCACTCCAAGCCCTCATGGGGATGGGACTCACGCCAACCGCACTTCTAGGGCTGGCGCTGTCACCAACAAACACCCCGTATACGCCATCGAACAACACCCAGGTTCGCAGTCCCACGAACAGGCTCAGGGACAAGATCCAGTATGTCGTTCAAACTTGTAATACTGAAGCTGTCATGTTGCTAAATCGATGGTGCAGGTTACCAGCGTGCAGAACACCCCCAGCGTGCAACACAACGTTGTCGTGGATAAGAATGCACAAGTCCAGTCCAGTCAGAGTCAGGACAAGCCAGTATGTCGCCGCGCCTGACAAGCATCATCTTTCGCTGACATGACTTCACAGACACAGTCCAGTAGTGCTGCTGCTAAAGCAAGTCCCTCTCAAGGCAAGGGCAAGAGGTACGACGATGGTCAGTACCACCCGAACCCTTCCTACGACAATGGCCAGTACCACCCCAACCCCACGTATAACAATGGTCAGGACACTCCTATTACCACAGATCCGACTGCTCCCACCACTACCGCGGCGGATGCGTCTTCTCCCACTCCCACCCAGACATATGACGACGGATTGTACCATCCCAATACGTCCTACGACGATGGCCAGTATCATCCCAATACAGCCTACGATAATGGCCAGTACCATAATGCCGCTGCTGCGAATCCCGCCCCCGTTGCGGTTCCCGACGCGGTCACGTCTGTGTTGGGTGTTGTACTCAATGTAGTACCCGGTACCGGAACAGCGACCCCGACGTCCCAAACGGGCTCCACTACGCCTGCGACGACGAATTCTCCAACGACAATGGCCTCCTCCACGTCTACACAGGAGACTGCCACTGCCACCGCCACGTCTGGAACCACTACCACGACGGCAGCCGATCCCACTGAGACTGCAATGCGCGCAGTAGCCGGTGCTGGCAAACGCTCGGACGATGGCCATTACCACCCTGATTCGAGGTTTGACGACGGTAGCAACCATCCAAATCCCATGTTCAACGACGGCAAGTATCATGTCAGTACTATCGGAGGCAAACGTTCAGACGATGGCCATTATCACCCTGATTCGAAGTCTGACGACGGCAGCTACCATTCCAATCCCAAGTTCAACGATGGCAAGTATCACATCGGTACCACCGGAGGGAAACGCTCGGATGATGGCCATTACCACCCTGATTCGAAGTCTAACGACGGCAGCTACCATCCCAATCCCAAGTTTGACGACGGCAAGTACCATCTGGGGAAGTATCATGGGAGGAGGGGGTTGGTGCATCAGGATAAGGTGCGCGCTGTTAGGAGAAGAGCTGCCCAATACTAGGCTTAGGCATCTGTAGGCGCTATCTATTGGACTATGATGCAGATATCACTCTTTCACATAAACCTTTACGTTCTCCTAAGTGCGATAAGGATATTCGTTGAAATCATTGGGCGTGTTCGCGTCGTGAGCCTCTTTTAGCATGACCAGTGAGTTCATGGCGTCAATGACCGTACCAGGGAAAACTCGGAATTTTGCCAGGCGGGAGGAATCGGACTGTTTTGCTTCTTCCTTCTATGATTGTGTCTGCAAACTAGTACTGCGAGATACAGTACTTAGCCAGTAAATTTCGAGGTCTGCAGTGGCTTTGCTTTCCAATTTCGTTGCATGTGATGCAGCGAACTTCGAAGGCAAAGCCACTACATCGAGATTCGAGACAATAATCCAAAGGCGGTCACTGACTTCGATCACAGTCAATCACGCAATCTGAAACATTCGATCCCCATGATTCACAAGAATGCATTGCCAAGGATATGAAAGTCCTTGTACCCGGCGCGTTCGTGAATTGACTTGGTCTTAGCTTCTCGCGATCGCACTAGGCTTCTCAAGTTGCCTAGTAAACAGCAGGCTGCACATTCAGACTCTCGGTAAGTACTGCTGCCCCGAACCACCACGAGTGAAGTCAAACTCACTATTTGGCCCTCGCTCTCTCACCGTAATTCTTGACAGAGCCCAGTGAGTATGCTAGACACACTGCTCCACCGAAACACTAATTCATAACCACTTAATGTCTAGCCGGGATTTGCACTCGCAATGCACACCTGCTTGCAGATTTCGGAGATTTTGAAAATCATTTTTGCAGAAGTGACACAGGTCACAGATGGCGGCGTACAACCATCATATACCACTCTGTACCACCTGGCGTTGACGTGTCAAGCTTTCCGAGAGCCGGCGCTGGACGCCCTATGGGCGCATATACCAACGCCGGATGTGCTTGTCATGTGCTTGCCTCAGGACGCTCGTTCTCAACCCATACTAGAATTGACCTTGGAGAGTTTCGACCAGTTCGAATGCACGCATTCCGGGATCGCCGCAGCATTCAGGGTGGTGAGTTGCTATTCTCTTCTTTTGAATGCAATTCATTTATATTGTTTACCAATTTCAGAGGCTTCTCAGACCCTTGACCACTGATGATTGGGCTACCTTTCAAATGTATGCACGTCGCGTGCGCTCGCTCACTTTCGCAAAATATGATGCTGAGTCCTACGCCCTGATGAGAGATCGCGGGCTGCACGATAGCGCTGCGCTTGCTCTCCTAGGTTCTTCTGCTTCGTTGCCCCTGCCGTTTCCTCTGCTCCGCGAGCTGTGCTGGAACGACCAGCGCGACGTGCTTCTGCCTTGCCTCCAGCGATGCATTTCCAACTCCCTCACTCGATTAGTCATTCATTCGGAGCTTTGGCCATCAGCAATGGTCGATCTCGTCGCAGGCTTGGGAAAGACTTGTCCTATGATCAAAGAATTTCGTTGTTCGATGCCGCCCGCTAGTGCATGTGCCATGCTTTCTGATATCGTCACCTACTGGGATGATCTGGAGATCTTAGAGATGGGAGTAGTGAATGCGCAGGCATTGCAGCATCTTGCGTCCCTGAAGAAGCTGAGAGAGTTGAAGATGCTCGTGCCAGAAGGTCACAGCCTGGACGTAGACTCGACATCGACGTTCAGCGTCAAGTTTTCGTTGGACGAGTTCAGTATAACTGCTGCAAGGATCGAGCCGCTTCTCGCTTTTTTGGCGCCTTTGAAAATTTCTGCGAAAAGCGCGAATCTGCAAATCGACACAGCTTCAAATGCGGATGATCTCGGCCAACTACTTTCCTCCCTCATAGAGCACTTCGATCCCAACGTTTTAGAATCATTGGATGTTTGGATGGCCCGCCCCACTGACCCCACCAATCACGCCCTTTCCGAACTGAGTGCTTCCGCCTTTGAAAAGATTCGGGCCTTTACAGGGCTCACCAATCTTAATCTCAGTTCAATCCATGCCTCTATGACCGACCATAAACTTCTAGACCTCATTTCGGCTTGGCCGAAAATGGAACATTTTTACCTTGACACGGCCTGGGATTGGGGGGTGGCCCGCTTGAGGGTAACGTTTCATGGGCTTGCTGGTATCCTCGAGCGCTGTCCAAATCTGCGTTCCCTAGGGGTCGACCTAGACACATCGCACCCTAACGACTCACCTGTCTGCGTTGATCACCAATACACTGGCATCGCCAGGGATAAAGTCACTGAACTAAACGTTGGGTCTGCGGAATGCAACGACGTCGAGGCCATTGGCAGCCTGCTAGCTGAAATGTGTCCCAACTTGATTTCCATCGGTCGCGCGTGTCCCGTAGATCTCAATTACGAAGATCCTTCCGCAAATAACGAATGGTTTGACGGGGAAGCAAAATGGGAAGAGGTTAAAGGGTTCATCGCTCAGAGGAGAAGTGGGCAGCTAGAGCAGAACAATAGTGAGTGCGCTTTATAGTCATGCAGTCGTGCCCTCATTTCTCCTAGTGTAGGATTATTACCCTAACGGTGTCTGATGTAAAGAATTGATGCTGTTCACACGAACAGGTTGTAAAAGCGACTGCTAGTGATTATGTGTACTAGTATTCAGTAAGGTATGCAACCAAACTTGTTGGACTTTGATGCAAACGTCACTTCTTCACATAAGCTCGTATATTCTGTTTTATCCGATTATGACCAACGGGCTTCAATATTTGGGGGTGTCCGCGTCGCGAGCCTCCTCAAGTAGCTTTCAGCGGACCTGAGCCGGCTGCATGGCGTTACTTTGAGCATGACCACGGTCGCATCGGGTCTTCCTACGAATGTACGTGTTGGATACGTCAATACTTGGCCAGTAAATCGATTCGCCAGGTCTGCGCGCCAGTTTCTCCGCCTTCGGAGTTCGCTAAGACCGTCCAAGGCCTAGGCAAATCCCTTCGATCAGTCAAATTTCCAAGAAGGATTCGGAGAACTAGAAATCCTTTTCTGATTGACCGGCAAATTAGCAAGACCCGATGCGTGAATTTGTTCTACTTAACCATAACTCGCAACCAAATTAAACCAATCCGCCTATGACTGTTTCAATGCTGTCATCTATCGCTGGTCTCGAGGACGAAGTTGTAGCTCGATCAGCCACCATCTTTGGTTACGACAGATCTCCGCGAGCAGTCATTGCCAACTGTATAGGTAGTCTGACAGAATATCGCGGGGGTCGAGCAGGCGGTAGGACAACAATTAGTGGTTCAGGTCATTGATTCGACTGCCAAGCCTAACCTCCAGCTCTCGATTGACGGCAGCAGTCTCGCCAATATCTCTAATCCATTCAGCATCCTGGAGTCTGGGCTGGTGTCCGAGAATTAAACCTTCGACTCCTTCGGAATCATTATTTCTGTTGGCAATGCCACAAGACAGAGTTGTAGTTCATCTGATCCTTGAAATGTTGATACAAGGAGCTTCGTGGACAAGTTCAACCAATTAACTTATATTTCGTGCAAGTCCAATTATGTAACAACTAACGATTTTTAATTGGTCTATTATGTTAGCAAGTTCTGCGATATTATGTAATATTATACGTTGGCAGATTGACACTTGGTTTTCGATGCTACCTTGTCATTCACCAAGGCAATTTGCCCGCACCTAGGCCTGGGATGGACGTTCGATTGCATTTATTGAACCTCAAATCGAACCCCATGTCTGACAATAGACCAGTCAATTTTAGATCATGCAATCCGAAACATTCGATCGATCACTCCGATTCACAAACTTCTATTTGAAAGGTCGTTCAAGGCGCCGCGGTCTGATTATTCTGAGTGTCTAAACTTTCCCACTTGTGCACACTTCGGAAGTCTTAGCTTCTCTCGGTCGCATGATCCTCAAGTTGCCTAGCGAACACAAGGCCACGCAGATTCTCCAAGACTCCAATCAATAACTACTCCGAACGACCACGACTCAACACCTTGCCTTTTGACACTTGTTCTATCACGATAATTTTTGACCGAGTCCGGTGAGTAGCAGATGATTGTGCCAGATACTGCCACTAGAAGACTGATTGATAACTGCCCATTGTTCAGTCGTGATTAGCACCAATGCACACCTGCCTGTGGATCCCAGAGATGTTGAAAGCCATATTCGCGGAACTGATGCCGGTCACAGAGAGTGGTGTCCAACCATCATTTGCCACTCTGTACCACCTGGCATTGACGTGTCGAGCTTTCCGGGAGCTAGCACTGGACGCCCTATGGGCGCATATTCAAACACCAGATATGCTTGTCATGTGGCTGCCTCAGGATGCTCGTTCTCAACCCGTAACATTCACCGCGAGGGGTCGCCCTATGTTAGATATCTCTGGACACAGTCTGGTCCGTCTGGTGTTTTTCTCTTTTGAATGTAGTTCATGGTATATCGCAGCGGCTTCTCCGACCCTTGGTCGACGACGATTGGACTACTTTTCAAAAGTATGCGTGTCGCGTGCGCTCACTCACTTTTGAAAAATATGATGACTGGAAAACTCGTAAGCTGCACGATAGCGCTGCGCTTGCTCTCCTGGGTTATCCTGCTTTACCATTCTCCCCGTTTCCTCTGCTTCGCGAGCTATACTGGAATGACCAGCGCGATGTGCTTCTGCTTTGCCTTCAGCGCTGCATTTCCAACTCCCTCACTCGATTAGTCATTCATTCGGAGCTTTGGCCATCAGCAATGGTCGATCTCATCGCAGGCCTGGGAAAGGCTTGTCCTATGATCAAAGAATTTCGTTGTTCGATGCCGCCCGCTAGTGCATGTGCCATGCTTTCTGATGTCGTCACCTGCTGGGATAATTTGGAGATCTTAGAGACGGGAGCAGTGAATGCGCAGGCATTGCAGCATCTTGCGTCCCTGGAGAAGCTGAGAGAGCTGAAGATGCTCGTACCAGAAGGTCACAGCCTGCAAGTGGACCCGGCATCGACGTTCAGCGTCAAGTTTTCGTTGGACAAATTCAGTATAACTGCTGCAAGGATCGAGCTACTGGTCGCTTTTTTGGCACCCTTGAAAATTTCTGCGAAGAGCGCGAATCTGCAAATCAACACAGCTTCGAATGCGGGTGATCTCGACCAATTACTTTCCTCCCTTACTGAGCATTTCCAACCCAATGTTTTAAAATCATTGTATGTTGGGGTGAATCGCCCCACCGATTTCGACGACCACTCCCTTTTCGAACTGACTATTTCCGCCTTCCGAAATATCCGGACCTTTACAGGGCTCACCAATCTCGATCTCAGTTCAATCCATGTCTTTATCACCGACGACGAAGTTCTAGACCTTGTGTCCGCTTGGCCGCAAATGGAATGTCTTTACCTCGACTCAGCCTGGGACTGGGGAGTTTCCTTCATGGGGGTGACATTTGGTGGGCTTGCGGGTATCCTCGAGCGCTGTCCAAATTTGCGCTCCCTAGGGGTCAACCTAGACACCTTTCCCCCCTACGACTTACCTGTCCACGTCGATAACCAAAATACTGGCATCACCAGGGAGAAATTCACTGACATCAGTGTTGGGCATGCGGCATGCGAAGATGTCGAGGCCATTGGCAACCTGCTAGCTGGGATGTTTCCCAACTTGACCCAGATCTATCGTGCGCATCCCATAGATATAGATTATGATGATCTTTCCGATCAGAATGAATGGTTCGAAAGGGGAAATGAATGGAAAGAGGTCGAGAGTTTTATCACTCAGAAGAGAATGGAACGACTGAAGCAGAACGATGGTGAGTGCGCTTCATACCAACGCAGTCGTGATCTCACATGCCCTAGTGTAGGACAACGATGTACCAACGAATTGTGTTGATGCTGGCCCAAGTGAACGAGTTTTGCTTTCTTTGTACAAGATGGCTGCCACGTGATTCTGTATATTAGGGGGAACTGCATGGTGGAGACATCGAGCCGGCATGTTCAACTGTTATAATAGTGTTTTACTTGTAATGTGGAGGCCGTTTGCATGGAAGAGGAAGATTCACAAACGTTTCTGTCTTCTGCCACCATTGTTACCCGACCATATCAACCTCGCGAAAGACACTCGAGGCAGATAGCGATACACATTACGATTTTACGAATTCAGCGCAGGTGAATCAAGATGTCATTGACGGCAGACTGAAAGGTTTGTTATGACAATATTGTTTCACTATCCAAACTGCTGAGGGTACATAAATGTTTCAGGTCAGCAATCACAGGCAGCACCTGTCACCTTGTCAATGGTACTTGTGTTGACGAGGAGGGATGGCAGGGGATAGGAAAAGTTGGACGGTGCGATTGAGCATAGATTTGTTACAGCAAAGCTGGACCTCGAGAGAGAGTAATCATCATCAAGCCTCCGTACGTTAGAGCCGATGCGAAGTTCCGGCCCAGATACAGCGCCTACACGAGTGTCTTCGCATTGGGTGCTGGCAAGGTCGACCTTTGACAGCGCAGAGGAACTCTTCTTACGCATTGGCGAATTGTTTGGAAGCGGAGCGCAAGCCAGAAGCGTCCAGCAAAGCGTGGCGAGGCGCACTGCGTCTTTAGCACCCGCTGCAGGTACCCGGATCTCCTAGGATCAGGGTCTGTTATCTAGGGCAAAAGGGACGCTGGTCAGAGGGCTACTGCTACCCCAGTCGCGCTGACTCGTTCTGTTTAGGAATGACACTACTGTGATGGCCGACCCTAAACCCGCCCACTCACCCTAATCGGTATCGGCTATCTTCGGACCGACCGGCGTGCGGAAATGAAGGAACCCTCTTCTCGTCTATCAAGCTTTGATCAAGGGCCGGTCTAGGCTGGCTTCAGTACTTGTATCAACCTTTCTTGTGCGACAACTTGCATATGAGGGTAGACGCGGCCAGTTGAAAATAATGGCCACTAGTACTCGTCGCAAACTCGTCCAGTCACTTTGCACCTAATTGTCGGACATCGGATCATAACGGACCACAGCTACTATTAACTCATTAGGGTATAAGTAGGAAGTACTACTAGCAGTCACCGGTCACCAGCTGTGAACGAAGGAGATAAGAGCATAGTACCTGCCGGTAAAACATGTACTCGACTTGTAAACGATATGAGTTGACCTAATAATTAGTCCACCCATGACAGCATACACCTTCTCTGCGCTCAACGCCCACCCAATTTTTTACGAAGCACTCGTCATCTGGGCAAGCGATTTCACGGAATCCACGCCTTTTACCTCATCAAAAGATTGTGATTGCGATTACGGGCAAGGTGCTAAATCGATATTCCAATTGCCATAAAATGGGACAGCAAATTTCATCCGACGATACTGCTCGTACGCGAATTTTTTTATCAGATACCCCCACCCAACGGCCTGGCTCTGTCCTGGATTCCATGATCAACTCTGTTGACCCCAGCGAGCCTGCTTCGTCAAGCAGCTCTCAGGTCCACATCCCGAGCCAGCCTGAAATGGTCGGCAAACAATCCTCACTATCCCCACCTCGCAGATTTCGGGAAGTTATCAACGAGTTCGCCGCTTCCCTAACACTGAGTTTAGTGCTCGAGAATAAGGGTAATGTCGCTCGTGATCATCTTGCATCAGAGCGAACCTATCTTGCCTACGTTCGTACCAGTCTCGCATGCGCAAGTGCTGGAGTAGGTGAGACCGTGATGTGTCCTCTGCCCATAACAATCGCTTACAAGTAGAGGCAAATTAACAGCCCTTGTACAGCTATTCACGCTTTCCAGTTTCACAGATGCAAATACCCATGGTCAAGGAGATATTGTTCCACAGCGTTTTGCTCGACCACTTGGCGCCACGGTGGTGCTCTTGGGTTTGTTCATCCTAATTTATGGCGAGTCCTATAATTGTACTGCTCCATGCATTCTCATAAGTCGTAGGCCTCGTGCGCTACTTCATGACCCAGGCGGCCCTCGTACGGGGTTTCTTCCCGGTGGCACGTAATTCCATTGCTGCCCTGGCATTTGCCCTTGGGGCCGTCGTTGGCATCGTTTTTGGGGTATTAGTTGCTGAAACTCGGGGCTAAAGTGTGGGGCTGGTCACTATAACCGTATATGGTCACGGTAGTACAATCGTACGGTAACCATACGGGTACTGCCCGTATTGTACCGTATGTCATACCTCGATATCCTCGACGGTGCGGTGCGGATCACTATATGGTCATGCGGCCAACCAATACCGTAATACGGTCGTACGGTAAATGAAGATATACTGAATTACAGTAGCTAGATGTAGTATCAACCCATCAATTACCGCAATGGCATTTAGCACGTCGAAGGAAAATATCACAACTACACAGTGCAAGATTAGTATACCTATAGACAATAGTTTTGAGCAGGTTGAACTCACCAGGGATAGCGAGCTAGCCAGACACGACAGGTTCGGAAATTATGAGCAGTAGCCTGCTCACCGGCCACAGGCATCGAAGTCCTCCACGGGAAGCCTATCATAGTACTCCTCGAGCTCATCCCTCGAAGTCGTTGAGCGTTTTTTGTACTGAGCTGTTAACTGATCCTTTGCGTGATCCAAGCGACTTCGTAACTTGTGGCCATCGTCGCAGTCAGTTGAAAGGCAATTCGGGAGTTAACCGACCAAGGACTGTAAAGGAACAAGTTGCAGAATACTGGTCAGGTGATACTCTCGGCACCTTGCTTCCGCCCACTCATCAAGATGAAATTAATGAATGTCTACATCAAAATTTGCCACACATAATGTTGTGTCTCAATTCTGATGTAAACATACATCCGTCATTCAATGTGATCAGGTCTATCAGGTAACTCGTTCTCAACTTTCATGCACAGAACGTTCTCCGTTCATGAAACCCTATTATTCCGTGACTTCGTTACCTTCACGTCACACTTCACGCAACCTTATCGATGTGGAACAACCCATAGCCCTGGGTGGCTTATGATCAGTGGACGTATTCAGTGGTTCTCTTGGTCTGAACGCGGCACAATATAAAACGCCTCAAGGCAGACATTAAATTCTATAGTTTAAGATCGGCTCTTCGTTCTAATCTGGAAATCCACAGGACTTACTCTGAGCAACGCTGTTAGTTGATTTCTCTTTCCAAAGCACAAGCATACCAGTAAGTTTTCTCAGCTCAAGAGATAGGAACACCATGCAATATAACCTTTGACAGGGCCACGCATTACCATTGTTGAGCAAATTCAGAGATGGGATGTTCTGGGAGTCGGCCAAAAGGGCCTAATCCATCACTCGAGGAGATAAAAAGGCGCCGGGACGCAGAGGCAACTGCTGAGCAAGCCAGAAAGGATGCTGAGGCTGCGAGAGCACAGATCGCCGAGCTCATCAGGTCGAATCAAGAATCGCAGGAAAGGGCTATGGCGGCTGAGCAAGCCGCGGCAGCCTCACAGGATCAGGCCCGTAGGGAAATGGAGGCGATGGTCGAGGCCGAACGGGCTGCCAACGAAGCTCGCTTACTGGCAGAAGCCGCTGCTCGTACCGCCGGCGAAGAAGCAAGATATAGAGCAGCGGAAGCAGAAGAGGAGCGTAAGCGAACTGCCCCTGTCCAAGAACAAGCCGAACGAGACACCCAGGCTGCCCAGGAGCAGTCCAAGAAACTACAGGAGGCTGCCGATAAAGAGAAGAGGAGAGCGATTGCCGCCCAGGAAGCGGCCAACGCGTCGAAGAAAGTGGCAGAAGAGCAAGTAAAGGCGGCCAATGCTGCCAAGGAGGAGGCTGAACGCAAGTTGAAAAAAGGCATTCAACCTGTAGTGATTCCCACACCTGAAGAAGTTAGCGCCGCCAAGCGGAAAGTTCAATATCGCGAGGATCTTTTCCACTTTGCAGTAGCCGGGGTGGCAGGAGGAGGGAAATCATCCCTCATCAATGCCTTCCGCGGTTTGCTTAATAAGGATATGGGAGCTGCTGCCACAGGCGTCACCGAGACAACGCTAACTATGGCTAGACTCCCCGACCCCAATGCGGAATACCCTCTTGTCTGGTACGATATCCCGGGCGCAGGCACGCTCAAAATCCCAGACTGGCAATACTTCAATACCCAAGGCCTTTACGTCTTTGACGGCATCATCGTCCTGTTCGACAACCGCTTCACTATGACCGACATCGCCATCCTTGTCAACTGCAGGCGTTTCAAGATCCCCACGTATATCGTGCGCTCTAAGGCAGATCAGCATATATGAAGGATAATGCATCGTTTCGAATACAACGATATTTGGTGTTGTGAAGGGAAAGCGGCCAAAGAAGATCATCGACGAGATCGACTTGTTGAGCGACTTGATCCGAGAAGCCCAGACCAGGCGAGGACACCCTAATGCTGAGAATGAATGAGAAGTAGTCGGTGATGATACAGTCCTTACATTTCTTCCTTCGGGCTCTTGCTAATACTCGACATGACCTCATTGCTTGTGACCGATCTTGACCGCAGACTCACAGATACAGTTCTTTCTATATTTTTCTCTCTCGGCTGATGTCACTTCTCCACATGTTCTTACCGCTTGAGAATGACTGACTTCCGTCCCACTGGATACTTACAATTACAAAGGGTTTGCAGTTGAGATTTCTGTTACGAACCTAGATCCACAAGACGAAAGGCATCGCAGGACTTCTGATGTGACACGATCTGCGCCTCCCACATCCAACTTTCTTCAGGGCAGTTGTGAAATGAATTTGTGGTTGTTTAACCTCGTGCAGATAGGGTTCCAGTGTTTGCATCGTTGAGCTAACTCGTTGCACAATTTCCAGATCTGTCTGGACCACCGGAAATTCGTTAGATTTGAAGGAATCGTCTTCCGTTTTTATATCAGTGCTTCATCACCCTTGGCGAAATTCCATCGAGAAACATGGTAGAATTGACGCTGAGAAGCACTTGAATGTAAATGAGGTCTCCTGCTTCCGATTTACGATGGCAGCTGGTGAGCGAATTATGTAGACCATCGTACAACTGCAAGGCATCACTTCTCGGTTGTATTATGTAATTGTAGCGGCAGCGACCGGCCAGTACTATGTAGTCCCCGACTCCGACTCCGTGCCGGCAGACGGTCCGACTTCCCGACCCCATTTGTACTACTTGGTGATGTCATCTGGACCCGAGTCTTACGCAGACTGAACTCCAATTTGAGTTCTACCACAGTGTGTTTATACCTTAGCATGAAACACATGATTCCCAACCGCAGCGCCAGATTTTTATGACCACAACCCTAGACTTGTATATCCCACCATTCCACCAATGCAAAAATCGGTTCTTTCCTCGATCTCTGATACCATCACTCTTCTTCTAAATACCCCAATCGTCCCTCCGCCGTCCAAACGAACAAAGGACCTCGCGCTCACCGAGTTACCTCATTCGACTCCTCGACGACATGCGGAAGCACTGGAGCTGGAGAGATCTCGAAGCGTAGATTTGGCGGCTGGAGATACGTGTCTACAGGTAGCCAATTTAGGATGGCTCTGTCTCTGAACTATCTAACGGCCTGCGCAGAGGATGTCAGACGAAAGCGGACGTACAAGTACCCAGAGCCACGGAAGCAGTGATCAATCTGTAAGAGACGACCTGCCTACTGGGATGGTGGAGCCAGTCGCACATCAGTTGTCTAGGCGGTCATCGTATATACAGGCAAGTATGATTCATATACACTCAGATTCCTCGGTTTTGACCATTAAATCAGGACGAATTGGAGGCTGACCTACATCTGGCAATGAACGCTGAGCATGCAATGAGCCGGGCAGAAACGTAGTTCAGGTGTGCAGGTTGTAATACTTCAAGTTAGTTTTATGATCTCCAAGGGTGTGGCTAGAACTAATAGAACAGCAAGTCTAGTTGATCGGTTTCATCTATTTTAGCCATCCAATTCGTATAATACAAACACGCTATCACCAAATTCCTATCATCATCAATGCAGGTTTTCAGGCGTGAAGAATGTAGCGCGTATCACTTCTTGAACACCCTCAAGGGTACAGACCTCGTTGTGAGAACCCGTGGAAGTCTTGAGCAGGGTGATTCGTTCTCCAAACCCATCGAACTGATCCATTAACCCGAAGTTGGGGATGACAGTACGGGTCAGTAAGGACTCCCGAATTTCCCTTCGCGTGACCAGTTGAGCATGGTACTCGCTCCACTGCTGTGTCGACCACGACTCTTGGCTTGTTGATGGAGAGTAGACGGGAGGGAGATATGGTTCCAGGAGAGCGTCAAATAAAGCGTCAGAGTGGGTGTGAGAGACATCCCAATCATCCTCCGCGTGCAATATCAATATTGGTACCTTGAGTTTCTGGACGCAAATTAGTGAGGTGCTAGATAACCTAAGAACAGGACATCTACATACCGATATCGCCGATAAAGTGTCAAACTTGTGGATGAGAAAACTCTTATAAATACCTTTGAGACAAGTCAGGGTATGTCGGCGTTCGGTGATGTTTGCCAGACTTACCGGCCGCTCGAGGTATCATGTTAATGGGTAACATGACAGGAAATACACCAAAAATGTTATAGGTATCTATCAGTGTATAGAGCGAGGAAAAAGGAGACATAAGGACGGTCCCTCTGAACTTGACCCCGTCTTCGGAGAGGCCGACAGAGAGCCCGGACGCCACTGCAGTCCCCAAGCTGTGACCAACTATAAGGATATCCTGCGGTGAAGCACCTTGCGCGATCAGCCAATCCCATGCAGCTCTTGCATCTAGTGACAAGCCGTCTTCTGTAGGCGTGCCTGGACTATCTCCGAATCCACGATAATCTATTGCCAGGACATTTGCGTCCAGGCGCGAGGTAAACCCGGAATATAGGCGAACGCGCATGCTTATAGCCCGTGTAGCAGCATTGCCATGGAAAAAAAGCACAGTTGGACGCTGTGCCACAGCCTCTGAAATGTGCAATTCTGCAGCAGATGGAGGCGGGGGAAAGGACAAGTCGTGATATATGGTATCCGACAGAATGAACCATGCACCGAGAGTGTGATTGTCTGCGGTCTGAATCTTGATGTTCGCCGTTTTCCCAGCTAACGTATCCACAATTAATCCAATGAGTTCGGAAGAAATGGACGCGATGGAGCAAAACGTACGTGCAAGACCATGCCTTTCCGGTGCATCAAAATGTGCGTTCCAAGGTAGCTTCAAGGCGTTCATGTACACAATGCTTAATTACGTCTCGAGTTCTACATGCGCAGTCGTGAAGGATGAATGATTGGACTTACTGAGATTGGACCCAGGGCACTGCTAGAAGGATGACTGCCCCCAGGTAGAGAAACCCGAGGACCGCGAAACCCCTCCTAAGCCGTGCAAACAAACCATCGTTGTCTGGTTGGATGGACATAAAGAAGTACTACGGCACTGCGCAACCGGCGCAACCGTTTCGGTTCACTATTATCTAATACATTTGTATTTGGCGGCCGATTCTCTATGTGTATTTCTACTTCCACCCTTGTGTGCTGCTTCGCTTCATCGTCTTCTGTGCAAACACACCCGACTCTCCGAGGATCATTCACTCTTCGGTTCATGCATTCCCCAACGGTAATTTTTGGGCGTTTGCGCTCGTGCACAGTCACAGACTCGCAGCCCATCATTAATCCCCCCGAAACCTTGAACAGTACATTTTCTTTCGGCTCCACAATAACTTTTAGTCACAATCTCTCCGTCATTGGAAACAAATTACAGGTCGCAGGGCAAGTTATGCAATATCTAAGATATCCTTCACTGAGGAAGAATGGAGCATAAAGTGCACAATGCAGCGTCACGACCGCAGAAGTGAATGATGTTGTAAAAGTGTCCTCACCGGCTAAAATCTGCGCATCCTCTAGAATATTCAGGGACACCAACAAACCCTAGCGCACATTACAAACACAACCCGACGTCTGTCGCACGATGACTGCTGCGTAATGCGTCGTGGCAGCTTAAGACTGCCGCGGCGTGAACGCGGACCACTGCCACCATTGTTCTACTGTGCAGGTTTGTCCGTCCCCTCATGGTCCATATAGCTACTCGCTATCCATGCATTCTGGCTATGGGTCCGAGTCAGCTCTCATCCGTTCTCTTCTATGATCACACCAGTCACATTGGGCCAGTACATAAAACAAACCCATGGGGTTGAATTTGGTGTTCAAGATATCGGTCCCAGTACTAGTGATCGTCCACTTCTTATTTGGACTAGCGGTTTGATACAGCTGCAGGCATTCCCATTCCTACGATCCACTTCATGTTCGCGGGAAGGCCAAGGAGGGTCAACAGAGGCGCAGGTGGTCCAGGTCTCGGTACAATTGCCGGATTACGTCTATAAATCTGTGACACACGTAACACACGCTGCGTTTGGCTGCATCTCATAGTAATCCGTTGGCTCCCGATGATCCTGGCATTTCTATCGAAGACAAATGCTCGGCTGAGAAACTATCGAATACAGGGAAATGCAAAAAAGAAGTAATTCTTCGAATTCGTGCTCCTAGACAAGATATCTGATTTACCTACGCGCAGTGGTGATTATCCGGCTTATACTCGCGAGTGTATGAAAGATCAAACGGTAATCGCGACACCTTCACGACGGCCATTCAAACCAGTATGCTTCGAATGATATTACTCAATGCAGATATCTCGAGAGTGCTGCCGACCCTGCGGGGATTGATGAATCCGAAACAGAAGGAGTCATTTATGTTCGCTCAGATACTATGGATGGCTCGTAGAACGAACCGTGCTTGACAATCAGGTACGTGGTCTCCGTGTAGACATTTTAGCTTGGAATGTGGAATGCAATGCATCTCATTGCGCTGTATAGCATTGATACTATCACTATCTTCAAGGAGATATCTTGCTACCGTTCCGCTCGCTGCAAGGTTCACGCCTGATTTCTCCCGCACCGCAGTACTTTGGCTTGTCATGATAGCGTTTTCCTCTTGGTGGTTATGAAAGTTCTAGAATGCCCCGAAGTCAGATCGTTCGCAGCCCACTCGACTCCGGAATACCTTGTCGAAACCCTGACGCGCGAGTGATGGACCTCATGGGCTGTTGAGCTCGTCCTTTGGAAATTCAGAAAAACGCGAATTTGGATCGGCGAGCGGTTCTTTTCTCACGGACATTCGACCAGGAGGTCATCAAGAAGTAGGGCATCCAGTGAGACCACGTTTCGAGCATCTGAGATTCCTGTTTGATCTCGATGGAGAATGACCGCACATACGTGTTACATAGGGTTGGATGCTAG